TCTCCGAAAAGAAAATATGTTGACAGATCGGGGGGCTATATACATCCATCGCCTTCTGGATGTTTTTTTTTCTATATATTGATTATTAGTCCCCTACCGGTGAAACCGGAGGGGACTATAGGTTTCCTCTGAGTCTGTCTGTCTGTCTGTCCCGGCCTCTGTCTGTCTATCCGTCTGTCTAGCTGTCCCTCTGTCTGTCTGTCAGTCTTTCCCACTTGGTTTTCCGCACTTTTTTCTAACGCTTGCAGATACTGAGCTGATTTTTGGCATGTGATTGTATATTGATGAGTTGCAGATCAAGTTTGCATTTCGTTATGCTTCTATGATTTTTGACGGAATTACGACCTTTTCAACTTTTCAGGGTTTTCCGCAATTTTATTCTGAATGTTTGCAGATATTGAGCTGATTTTTGGTATTTGACTTTATACCTTGATGAGTTATAGATCAAGTTTGCATTTCGTTCCGTTTCATTGATTTTTGGCGAAATTATGGCATTTTCAATTTTTGACTGGAACCAGATTACACTTGCTGGTAGGGGACTAGTATTGCTAATGCAATTCTCTCAGAATGCTTGTTAATTTTGTGGTGTCATGTATTGAGTTGTCCCGTCTGAGTTAGCATTACTGGTGTACACTTAACAAATCTGTGATAAATTCTACAATAGTTGAAGAAAATTATTGAACTTTTTACAGGTTTTTTCTGCTAAAGATGTACAAGAATATTCTTATAAAAAATAATCAAACAACAGCAAAGAATTCCGTCAAACTTTGCCCCAAAACACGTTTTGCATGTGCAGACCTTTAGATCAATGCACCTTACTTTTTCCAATTGGTCTGTATTTTCAAACAACTGATTTGACAAAAAAAAAAATATTCAATTTCATCTTTATGATGGTTTGTGATTAAGATTTTTGACTTAAAATTTTCAACATGATTTAATTCATGCAATCATCTGTGATAGTTCCTATAGATTCGACAATGGCATGGACAATTGACTAAGTAAAATTTCCATTATGCTAAAAACATGATGAAGAAAGAATTGTGATAGTTTTGTGGTTTTTTTTTTTTAGGAAAGTATATGCTTTAACTTAAAATTATTATGAAAATGCAGAAAGAATCTTAATATTAACAATTGTCGGACGAAAAATCAAGTCAACTTTATCATATCTAGAACACCCCCGCCCTCCCCTTTTACGTACAAGAAACCCAAGAATCTAGTTTTCAGTAATGACCCCTTGTCATTTTTAATTATTTAAAGTGTTTACTGAAATGAAACAAATAAGAAATATAGTAAGCAAATTCTATTGACAGAGAATTGTCAGTTTGATTAAAATCAAATCTTCCTTCAGCTTCTTTGTCTAAAGGTCGCGACCATCATAATAAAGAGGCTAGTGGAAAGTTTGATTTTTAATCAGACTGAAGAATTGTGATCCCCTGATTTCTGCTTCTCAGTGCGGAGATGCAATTATTTATGGCATATTTCAACTGTCTTGTTTGAGTGTCCTGACTTATCCGTCTTTCATACAAAAAAAGATTAACTTTTTTGTATTAATAAGAGTTACGGTCAAGATTAAAGTTTCTTAAAACTGCATCAAACTTCAATTGCAAGATTAAGGTCATGAGGTCAAATCCAAGAGGTAATGCATATGTGATAAAAAGATGAAAGCCCCATCTCCTATGCATGGTGCAAACGTTACAGCCAAGTTAAAATTATAGATAACTTGGTCAAACTTCTAGGTCAAGGTCATGAAGTCAAAAATTGCATGTCACAGGTAAGTTCATGTGAAATATGAAAACCAATTAAGTTTTCAGCAATGTTAAAATTTTGAAAAGTACTGAGGTTAAAGTTAAGGTCATGAGGTCATCAAAAATCAGTGCATTTGGAAAGGTCTTGTAACAGGTACATTGTAATGCACTTATCAAACAGAAGAAAAAAAAAACCTATCTTCTCTCATTCCAAAGTTATTACCACTGTTGAAATTTTGAAAAGTAGGTAAAACAAGGTCAAGTGGTCAAAAATCATAGTACATCTGGAAAGGTCACAGGTAATATACTTATCGAATATGAACGTCCTATCTTCTCTGATTCAAGTTTAAAGTTAACACCAATGTTAAAAATTTTGAAAAGTCAAATTCACAGGGTCAAAAGTCATAGTACATTTGGATAGGTCTTGTGACAGGTAATATACCTGTGAAATATTAAAGCCCCAAATTTTTTTCTCATGCAAAAGTTATGACTAAGGTTGAAGGACTAACAGACTGACGAATGAGATATCCCCTCCCTTTCGCGAAGAGGGGGGTGGGGGTGACCAAAAATTTCCTATGCTATATTAATATTGCGGCAGATATGAGCAACTATATCTCTGTACATCACCATGCAGGATCATTATTTTTCAATTTCGAGGCTTACTTGAAAAAAATCACTCGATATGATATTACGACACTTCTTGTGTTTGACTATTGACTTGTCCTTTCTGTAAACCATAAACAAGAGGCCCGTGGGCCACATCGCTCACCTGAGCACATTGGCTTGGCAAAAGCACAAATCAGTTCAGTATTAAAAAGATTACCGGGGGGGGGGGGGGGGCTTGAATTTTAAACTACCTGATGATGCTTCCATGTCAATATGTCACGATGTCAATATAACAAATGGCTTTGTTGTACTTGAGATTGAAAAAAAAATCCCATATATTCCTTTGTAAAAAATTGATCCCCCATTGTGGCTCCTCCCTATCCCAGGGGTAATCATTTGAACAAACTTGAATCTACACTACCGGAGGATGCTTCCATATCAATATGACTAAACATAGCTTTTCTGTTCGTGAGAAGAAATATTTTTTCTATATGTTCTTATATAAAATTTTTGACCCCGCATTGAGGCCCCACCCTATCCTCGGGGGTCATCATTTTAACAAAATTCAATCTACACTACCTGAGAATGCTTCCATATCAAAATGACTCATGGCTTTGCAGTTCTTCAGAAGAAGAAATTTTCTATATATTTCTATTTAATCCTCATTTGTGGCCCCACCCTACCCCTGGGGGTCATGATTTGAACAAAACAGAATCTACCCAACATGCGGATGTTTCCATATAAATATGACTCATCATGGCTGTGCTGTTCCTGAGAAGATTTTTAAAGGTTTTTCCAATATATTTCTATGTAAAACTTTGATCTTCTGTTGTGGTCCCACCCTACCCCCATGGGTCATGATTTGAATAAATTTGAATCTACACTACCTCAGGATGCTTCCATATTAATATGATCAATCAGGGATTTGCTGTTTCTGATAAAGATTTTTAAAGATTTTTCCTATATATTTCTATGTAAAACTTTGACAGTCCATTGTAGCCCCGGCCTACTCCCCGGGGTCATGATTAGAAAAAAACTTGAATCTACACTACCTGAAGATGCTCCCATATAAATATGACTCATCATGGCTTTTCTGTTCTTGAGTAGAAGATTTTTCCTATAAATTTCTATGTAAAACTTTGATCCACCATTGTGGCCCCGCCCTACCCCCGGGGTCATGATTTGAACAAACTAGAATTTACACTACCTGAGGATGCTTCCATATAAATATGACTCATCATGGCTTTGCTGTTTTTGAGAAGAAGATTTTTAAAGGTTTTCCCTATATATTTCTATGTAAAACTTTGATCCTCCATTGTGGCCCCGCCCTACCCCCGGGGGTCATGATTTGAACAAACTTGAATTTACACTACCTGAGGATGCTTCCATATAAATATGCCTCATCATGGCTTTGCTGTTCTTGAGAAGAAGGTTTTTCCTAATATTTCTATGTAAAACTTTGATCCTCCATTGTGGACCCGCCCTACCCCCGGGGGTCATGATTTGAACAAACTTGAATCTACACTACCTGAGGATGCTTCCAGATGAGTTTCATCTTTCCTGGTCCTGTGGTTCTTGAGAAGAAGATTTTTAAAAGATGCTAATAATTTTTCACTAATTCTTTATTATCTCCCCTTGAAAGAGGGCGTGGCTCTTCATTTGAACAAACTTGAATCCCCTTTACCCACGGATACTCTGTGCCAAGTTTGGTTGAAATTGGCCCAGTAGTTTTTGAGAAGAAGATGAAATTGTGAAAAGTTTACAACAACGACAACAACGCCGACAGACAACGGACAAATTTTGATCAGAAAAGCTCACTTGAGCCTTCGGCTCAGGTGAGCTAAAAAAATCGAATTCAACACGACAATTTGTTTTGCAAATGAAATAACAACCGGTAGGTGACTATTTAGTTATGTTCATCACAGTCATTTTCTAGAGCAAAATATCCAAAATTCTAAATTCATCTAAATGGTTTAAGGGGCGTTTTATATTCTCAATTTTTAATTGACGTTTTTGGACATATTTAAGACGTATATTACACAGGTACCTGCCGCACATGCATTTATATAATATGAACTGACACATTTTCAATTTCTTATGCAATTTGAAGCTTGCCGTTTTGTATTGTTTTATTTTTTCATCGGAAATTCAAATGAAGCTACTTGCAAGTCCACTCAAAGTCTGAAATACGAGAAGTATAATAATTTAGGGTCAAGATGTAGGCTGTTATACTTGATATGTAATACAGCATATCATCATCATCTACAAGAAATGATGTGTCCTAATACAAAGGCAAGGACACCATTCTTCAGCGACAACTCAAAACACTTACATGTACATAATGAAAAACAACCGACTGCCGCGGGTTTATCCCTGGCAGACAGTTTATATGTGCATCTACATGTACATACTGGCAATGTTCTCTAGATACATCTGACTGTACTAGTGTTACTTACTGCCACGGAGTTACATAACATCTTTTTTCATTAAAGGCAAATTTTATTGGGGGTGGGGAGGGGGCTAGGACGTAAGTGATAAATCGCTGCAATTCCCCTGAACTTTCAGTCCTCAAACAATTCCAGCCTATGAAATCCTCATCCTTTAAGTAGAATAAGTAAAAATAAACCGAACAAAACATTTCAACATGTGTATTACAATCAGAATAGTAAACCTCTTAATCAAGGAAAACATTTTTCGTACATTTACAATGCATTTTATGACTAAAAATAATTGCAATTGAGAACTACTAGTACACCATAAGAGAAACCTGACGAGATCAAAGAAATTTTGTGCTCAAATTTCAAGGGGGCAACAAAGAATTCTAATGAGATATAACATATACAAACAAGTGAAAACAGCTGAATACTAGTATGATGTACATGCAATGACTATAACAGAAAACTTAACAAAACGCAAGATATGTTCATGATAGACGGGCGATAACTCTAACAACACGATTCAAATGTCATGGTCCTTGTAATATTTAGTCATCAACAGCCATTGATGTAAAGATCGTAACGGATGATCCCAAACGACCAAGGTCTTATTTTCTTAAAAGAATGTATATCGATAACGATTATTTTCATCGAGCATTCGAATTACAATAATTTAACAAAATACCCTGTCAATAATTTTTATAGCTAATAGCATTTATTTAGTAAAGTATTTCACGTGCTTCAAGTTTTTTTTTATATTCTCGGTCATAATTTCAGTATCCGTGCGCATTTTTTTGTCACACATTCCAAATAATACATTCTAAACTTGAAATTCAGACAAAGAAAAAAAACTGATACACAAATTATGCCAATCAGATGACATTCAGCTAAAGTACATCAACATGCACCAACATCATATACAAATGAGTACGAAACGTAAAATTCTGTAACTCTAATGGACAGAAAAAAAAGTTAAAAAGGAAGAAAAAATAATAATATTCCCAAATCTCATTTGGGGGTCATAATTTAAGCACTTTAATTTAGTTTCCCTAAGAGACCCGTCCCTTTAAATCCGGCCTCTGGAACGCCAGACACATTCATCAGGTCCTGTAAAACTCCGGGATCCTCCACAGGTTCATCAGCCTGCAGCATGATAATGTCACCCGGCGCTACACGGAGACTCCCCAGGGTTGCCTTGTCGTCTTTTATCGGAACTCCCGCAATCGATAGATTTTGGTCAAATGGGGGCACAGAGAATAATTTCATCAGCTGCAGTTTTAAATCCCTTAATGTCTGATCAGACGACACTTTTAATTCTTTCTCTCCGCGGACTTTCCGATGCCGCTGACTTTTCCTCACGGCATTCCCATCCATTTTCTGTAACTTTTCGGGTGGTTCGTCACATTCGGATTTTCGACGATCGTTCGTGCAGAAATCTGGATCAGGATAGTCTTGTTTTGAATTTTCAGTAGAGGTATCTCCTTGCTTGTCTTTAACAGCTTTTCGTACGAACACAGTAGCATCCCTATACACATACTTGGCCATTTCAATCATGTTTTCGCGCTCTTTCACACACTCCTCGCACACCTCTGGAAGCGTGATCACGTGATCAGAACCGTCCTCTTCTTCATACTTCACAACAGATACCTCATAATCAACAACAAAGTGCTCCATAACTTTTTCGAATTCTGATGGCCAGAGATAGATCACCTCTGTATTGTCGGATAGATCCGCGCCATTCTGGGGTGGTGGGTACAAGTATTTTCGGTGTTCACAAAGCAAACGGGTATTTTTCACTTCTGACACAGGTTCGAATTTGCTTGGGTCTTTAACAAAGTGCCTCCAGTCTTCCACAAACTGTGCATTGACCACGAAAATTTCCTCTCCGGTCACAAGTCTTACTGGCCTTTTTCTGTCATTGAACAGATCTGCAAGATCTGCTTTCTGGACTTGAGCTAATTTTTTGTTCATGTTCTGATTTTCAGTTTCTTCTTTATTCTTATCACAACATTTCTGACAAACTTCATGTGAACTAGGGAATTCTGGACAGTCTGGGAAATATTCCTTCAATCTATTCCACAGATCTGCTGGTATCAATTTCCGACATGATGGATCTGGATCTAACTGACCATGAAACTCACAAAGTAAATCCTCATTGAACTGCAGAGAACTTTCCATGCTCTCATTAGTCACAGAAATGTCTGCCTTATCAACAGTGTTATCACCATTATCTAATTCAGTAGATTTCCTTTTTTCATCAAAGTCATTGGCATCTTCTGGTACCTCCATACTCTTGTCTGCTGCTATTTCTGTCGTGCCACTTGGCTGCTCCTGTTGGTCCACTCCGTTATCAGTTCCCTGTTCTATAGATTCCCTATCTTCCCTAAAATCTTCCAGCTGCTCTAAAACTAACCTCTTCCAGCTCCTCAAGGAAGATTTCCCCACCCAGAAAGCAGGTTCATTTGGAGAAACTTCTACCTTCTTCATTGTACTGAAAAGTTTTTCATCCTCCACCATTTTCCTCTTGGTGCGTATAACCTTGCATCTACTTTGCACACAAATCAGACAAGTTGCTTTATCCCCAGGCAAACGAGGTCCACCTTTATACTTTTCATACAAACCATCAACTGCATCATACTGGACACACTTCATCTTCCCAGCCTTGTCAGGATGAAGTTTACCATGTTGGCATAAACTGGCTTCATTATCCACGGATCTGGCTTTACCTGGATCTTCCAGCCAGTGGGTCAGCCATGGAAGACTGATCCATTCATAATTATGAGATTCCTGGTCTTCCTCCCCCACTACCAGCTGGCTAAATGTCTGTCGTATATCTTCCTGCTTCTTCTTTCCCGTCTCTATATTCTGCTCCCTCATCATTAAAAGTTCTGCCACCCACATTTCAAATTTCTCATTGTCTTTCTTCACATAGTCTGACATGTACTCAGGGAGGTAACTCTTGTCTGGGATTTTCATATCAATAGTCTTGTCTTTTTCTTCTGGGGGCACATCTCTGGTGTAGACAACCATATATGCATTTCTGGAAGAGTGATATCCCTTGGGAACTTTTCCCTTCTGCTTAGCAGATGTCTCTTGAAGATCTTCCTCTGTTCCAAGATGGAGATTTGATCCCTTCATTTTAGTCGTCTCTTCATCATTGAACTTGTACCAAACTCCTGAACTTTCATCCAGAATATGGGCTATGTAGTGTCCACTGTATGCTGAAGGTCCCCGATGAATCAACACTGCTTTCAGTTTATAAATACACCCATCTTTTGCTGAACTATTTTCACAAGTCAGATTACCATTTGAGTTCATGAATTTGCTCATGTCAAGAGTTTCGGGAAATTGAATGAAGCCATTTAGTTTCTTTTTGTGCCCAGTCTTCTTGTCAAACACAAATCTGAGGAGCTGCAAATTTAGAATCGGTGGCAGCCTCTTTAACTGTATGGCCCTCTTGGCATTTTGTTTCCTGCAGCATGTCGAACACATGTACTGATTGTCTCCCTCCAGCTTTTCTTCATGCAGGAAATCTGTGATGGAGTCCTCCAGTGTCTTGTGACCTTGAATATGCAAGTCCAGCTCATAAAACTTGGAATGTGTTTGAGATGAGTTATGACAGCCACTGCAGGTAGTGACGTATGCATATTCCCCACATAACTGGTCTTGAATAATGTTGCGTACTGTGGGGTCTTGTTGCTGAGACAAACAGTCCTCTAACAGAGAAAGGAAAAGTTTGGAAAATTCCTGTGCATCTTGCTGTAGAGCTGCATCCAGACCTAAATGATCAATGAAGTCCTGTGGACTGATGTATGCACGTTCAGAAAGCTCCAATAGAGAAAATATTGCTTGCAGGTGCCCTCCAATACTGTTGGGTTTCCACTCATCACCCACCTTGTCTATCATATCTGTCTCCCTGAACTTGTAAAGGGCTTGTCTAATTGGGGGACTGTGGAACCATAGTTGGAGGAATGTGTTCACATAGCATGTGTTTCCCAAATTTTTCAATCCCACAAAGTCTTGACCTTGTCTGCGTTCATTATTTGGGTCCTCAATATCGTGCCAGCTATCATCGTTGATTTCTCCGAACCACTTCCGTTCACCAATACAATTGATACAAAAGGGATTTCCTTTACAGTTTCTTTTACAGGCTCCTAATTTACAGGGCTTCAGATTCAATCTGCAAAATATAAAAAATAATGCATGAAATGAATAAGTACCCGATAATTAAATGAATACAGGGTCTGTAATTTTTTATGTTTTGGATTATGAGATTATCAGTTTACTTGTATACTGTTCTGATACATGTATGTTCATTAGAGATGTCTACAGGATCTGTCATTTTTAATATTTTAGATTATGACTGAGATTTTCAGTTTACTTCAAGGCTGTCCTGATGTGTTCATTAGTGATGTTTACATTGTCTGTGTATTTATTTTTTTCATGTTTTGGATTACGAGATTATCAGTTTACTTGTACACTGTCCTGATATGTTCATTAGTGATGTCTACAGGGTCTGTGTATCTTTTAATATTTTTGACTATGATTTACTTGTAGGCTGTTCTGATGTGTTCGTTAGTGATGTCTACAGATGAGGATTTGAGTATTTTTTGTTTTTAGGATTACGAGATTATTGGTTTACTTGTAGGCTGTCCTGATGTGTTTGTTAGTGATGTCTACAGGTTCTGTGTATTTTTTGTTTTTAGGATTACAAGATTATTGGTTTACTTGTAGGCTGTCCTGATGTGTTCGTTAGTGATGTCTACAGATGAGGCTAAACAAAAAATATGTGTGGTTCCGGTTACACCTCCAAAAAATTTAGGGTAGGTAGGTAGGTATTTTTTTTTTTTTTTTTTTTTTACAAAATGATTTTCTATTTTTTTTTCTAAATACCTACCACTGCTTTGCAAATGGCATTTAGATGTGGTGTGATAATATATTAGTCAACATTGGTAAGGGGGCACCCTAGTTATGAATATCAAACATTTTTTTTTTAAATCAAAAATAATAAAAACACAAATAAAATTCCAGAAAAAATATGAAAATTGCCGAAAAAAGTTTAGGGTCGAGGGTATAAAATAGGGACGGTCGGGTAACCGGAACCATGCATATTTTTTTATTTGGCCTGAGGATTTGAATATTTTTTTGTTTTTAGGATTACAAAATTATTGGTTTACTTGTAGGTTGTTCTGATGTGTTCGTTAGTGATGTCTACAGGGTCTGTGTATTTTTTATGTTTTAGATGATGAGATTAATGGTTTACTTGTAGGCTGTCTTGATGAGTTCGTAAGGGATGTCTACAGGGTCTGTGTATTTTATATTTTAGTTTATTAGATTAATGGTGTACTTGTAGGCTGTCCTGATGTGTTCGTTAGTGATGTACATGTATACATGGTCTGTGTATTTATTGTTTTAGAGTATGAGATTATTGGTTTACTTGTAGGCTGTCCTGATGTGTTCGTTAGTGATGTCTACATGGTCTGTGTATTTATTGTTTTAGAGTATGAGATTAATGGTTTACTTGTAGGCTGTCCTGATGTGTTCATTAGTGATGTCTATGGGGTCTGTGGTCTCGGCCCACTGCCAGGCTGCCTTATCCAGCTGCTGCTTTGTAGGCATCTCTGTCAAAAAAAAAAAAAAAAAAAAAAAAAATAGAGCTTAACAATAAAATCAGTTTTCAAGACTTTCTCATGAGTTTTTCCTTAGTTTTGACAAGCAACATCACACACTCCAGGTGATTGTTGGTAATAAATATTTACAGTGTATGTGGATATTTGCTTGACCAAATATAACACCATTCCTACATGTACATACTCTATTTCATGGTATTGATACTCAAATTTATCTCCCTTATCAGTGTTCTGCTCATGTTCAGGCATTTTAATTCTAAAGAAGCTAATGTCTCCAAACTATCTCTCTCATTCTATCCTACCAATCTCTCTCTTTATATATAATAGAAAATCATATACATGTATATTGAATAAAATATGGCTTAAATAAAATTTTAAAAAACACCTAACTCTCTTGAAACTAATAGAGTCGTCCGGTTAACAAAGTCTGGTAAAACAAGTCCAACCAAAAAAATTTGCATAAAATGATGCTGTTACATGTACATTGCTAGGCATTTTGTCACTGTCAGTCCAAACTGCTGATAAAATTACCAGTTGGGAGATTTCCAGAAATTATGAAGCATGTATTTTGTGTTATTCAATAAATATAAGTGAGAAAACGGAAAATCTCACATGATTTTTTGCAACATGTCCATGTGATGACTTTAATTCTCTATTCACTCATCAAGTTGACTCATTTTATTGTACAGTATCATGTGAAATCTTTTGTTTTGCCATCTCCTTCACCTAATATCTAAAGAGTACATGTAGTGCAAATTCTGAGATCAGAAGTGAATTTAGATACTTGTGAAAGTGGGCCAACTCCCCCACAAAAGTGCATTTACAAGAGTGGGGGAGTTGTCCTATTTGGGTTTTCTCAGCAAAACCCTTTATTACCACTAATAGTTGTAACTGTACATCTTTATTTATCTAGGTAATATTTTTAATATTGAAGAATGCAAATTTAAAATGTGTTCATTCATGTACCTTTTTGAATATTCTATTTTACATAGATGTCATTATGTCTATCAATCTTACATATCGTTCTGTAATTAATACAAGCAACGAACATATCCTTTCTTTCTTTGTTGACATAATTTACAAAACATTCCTTTATCATTTTTGAAGAGGGAAGGCTACCTATTTTAATCAATTTTCATAAAACAAATGTCTGAACATGTTCCTGAAATGTGTGTTTCAACACTCTTTTTCCCATTTTTTTTTTTATTTGAATGCTTTGACTTTCTGCCAATTTTTTTTCACTCAGTCTTCAAGTTCTGTGAAGTCTTCCTTTAACAATATAATGTGTATCTGTGTTATTATTGTCCACTTAATAGAATAAACTTAATTTGTCTTGGCTTTCTTTTCAGTTGGTGCCAGTTAAAAAAGAATTAAAACATTAAACTTAATCATATTTTTTTTAAATCTTGATGTCAAACTCAACAACAGAAATCAATTTCTTGCACATCATATAGTGAGTAGAAGGATTTCAAGCTGGGAAACTTGAAAAATACAATGTAATCCAGCAAAATACACATTCTACATTCACCTCTGGAGATGAATGTTTTTTCAAGACAAACTTTTCAAAAAATGATGTCCCATAAGACTAATTAGTGCCAATGTCAGTCAGACCACCGGGATTTAAATCTGGGATATGTTAATTCTGAGCTCTGAATTACATAATTTTATCTTGACATGGAGCAAATACATGTACTTAAAGTCATAAAAGACATGTACTTTTAATTTGTCAGATATCCATGTCTTTTTCTCTCTCTTTTTCTATTTAATGAAGTTTTAAAGTTTAATTAGAATCTGCTATTTGAAAAGCTCTTCAGCACTTTTTAGAAATTTATTTTTTTTAATTTGTTATGTAGATGATCTGGCATGGCTAAAGCTATTTTAGGGATTCAAATGTTTTTCCTAAATGATCAGTCACCTTCCTGTAATCACAGTATTCAAGGATTCATTTCAAAACAAGACAGGGAGATAAGAACCAAGATTATTTTACACAAAAATCGGCAGGTGAGGAATATCACAGTTATTATCCTGTGTATTTGTTTTTCATCGCAAGGCTATGTTGTTATTGACATGCCACTCAAGTGATGTACGTTAGCTGTTGTACTATATACATTTGAATTCTTTTGAATGTTATCTTGTCAACATAGTTTCTTCCAAATGACTTCTCTTTCCGAAACTCTGGACATTTGAGTTGTACAGTTGTAAGAGACCATAACTGACTTTGAACTGCGTAATTTCGTACGATATACAACTGCGTGAACTCTTTTTTCATAGAAACAAATATGCAGCGCTCTCATTACCTGTCAAAATCACTAAGAACGCACTTCATTCAGTAATTTGCGCTTCCCGCCTCTCTTGCACCTGTCAAAATCAAAAGTATTTCCCCATTCAACTTCCGGTGGGATTACCTCGTAAGTATTAATATGTCAAATCAAACCATATTCGAGTTTATTATATTGAGAATCCCGGAAGAATGTTCAAATGTAAAGACAATTAAACTGGATTAAAACAAAAATAAAAAATAAAATTTTACAATATAGGTTTAGTTTTATGGAGAGCATTTGTTTTTATCTAAAGTTATTTCGCTGCCCGAAATCGTTGGAGAACAATCGATATGAAATGAATTGTCTTTGTGAAAGAAAGCTTTGCACAAATTATAGGAAAAGCTTACTTTCAAGCGTAATCAGGACCAGCAATATTGCCACAAACAAACATGGAAGTTTGCAGACAGCAGTCAAGGCACATGTCATCTGAAAGCGTGTTAGACGACATTTTAGAAGTTGTTTCAAAGAATTGTGCAGCGCTTGATAGAGACCCGAGCAAATTGGTTGTACAGAGGCGTCAGAAGAAATTACAGGATGGAGACTTTTGCATACCAAAAGGGTGTTTTCAGATGAATGGAGAGGTACATTCTAAGTCAATTTGGAGTTTCTGGCAGCTGTTATATATGGATACTTCATGCTTTTTTTTTTTTTTTTTTTTAGTTTTTTTTCCAGTAATTGCCATTGACACTGATACCTTAATTTAAGGAGGGGGGGGGGGGGTTGAATGTCCGATCATCGAGGAACCTACTTATAAAAAAGTTTGTTTGTGTTGCTCAATGCTGGCATTAGTCGAAATATCTGATGTTTTCCAGGCTTTTTTCACGATTTGATATTTAACGTGCCAGGAAAACGTCAGAACCGGCGCCATTACAAAATCTGGAAATTCGCCGCCTCCAACTGGAGGCGGCATTTTTGGGTTGATTTTTGATACTTGCTAACCGAATTAAATGCTGAATTCACAACTTATCAGTAGTACAATTCCTTTAGTACTCACCAACATCGTTTATATGGGTTTGTTTATGAAATAAACAATCTGGTGAAAACATTTTATCAGAGGGTCCAGTTTTCTTTTCATTTCGTGCATTTTAAAGTCTTGCGAGACCAAATCGAAATGTGGAGTGATATATTCTTTTCATCGATATTGGAGAGTACTAGAAGCATTGTGGTACTGATAAATAGTAAGTTCGGCATTTAATTCAGTTCGCAAGTATCGAAAATCAGCTCTGGTTGGAGACGGTGAAATTTCCAGTTTTCGTAATGGCACCGGTTCTGACGTTTTCCTGGCATGTAAAATATCAAAATCGTGAAAAAAGCCTGGAAAACGTCAGATATTTCGGACTATGCTGGCATTAGATCCATGTTAGAATAATCTAACTATGTTTCAGGACAGACCAGAACCACAGATCATGATACAAATAACTGCATTTTTTTTTCTCTCAAAAGTGCCCAATGCATTTGTGAACAAATAGAATACGTGAGAGGTTTTGTGTAAATTATGCATTTTTTCATGGCGTCAATCAAAAATCTCTTTTAAGTTTAAATCTCCACAGGTTTGATCAGTGTCACCTGAATAACATATCAGGATTACAAAGTGCTAGTTTAAACTGAAAATCAGTGTATACTCAGTGATTTTTGGGGGGTCAAAATGCCACCGATATTCGGCTGTTTCCCCTCACAAAAATTAGCTATTATTTTCCCAATTATTAGTATATTTTTCCCAATTTGAAACATACGAAAATTAGGTTTTAATTTTGAACAAAAGTCGCTAAATTTGCTGACAGAGTATATACGTTTTTATTCTTCGTATCCATGCATATGAAGCCGATTTTTTAATGAATGTGTAAAACAATGCAGATATCCATATAAGCAAATTAGTAGCTTATAATGTTCTCAATGAATTGATAAACAGTTCCCAGATACAAGTCATATGTTGCCTGTTGACATAATGATTTTGGTTTGACCGCCATTTTTACATAGAGGGTAAGGCTAATAACAGGAAATAGACAACACAAAGGGTTTCACTAAAATCAGGAAAAAACAAACAGTAAAGACTGTAAACTTGATTATCAATATAAGACAGTTTACTAGATTATGAGTCTAAATGTTGGTTGTTTTTTTTTAATGAAATTAGACCAAGCAATTCCAAGGAAATAGAAGCTACAAGATGTGACTAATATAAGCCATGTTCACATTCAAAAATATTGATGTTAATTTTTTTAAATGATTATTTTATGAATTCAAATCAAATTCAAAGTTAAAATAAAGCAAAATCTGTTGTTGTTACTAAGTTTGATTAATTTATGCATTTTTTATCAATCTAGTTTACTATAAATGATTTTTCCCAATTTGAGGAAAATGTCGCTGATTTTTCCCAATTCAAAAGTAGGGGGTGATGGTTTAATTAAAAAACAAAAAAAATCACTGATACTTTTTGGCAGAAAAAAAAGATGAAGAAGCATACATCATCAATAAACTATGGAATTATTGGATTCTCTGTATTAAAAAAAATTATTTTTGTTGAACTTTTGTTGCTACCGTGAGAACGTAGTTTGCGGCGAGATGCAATCCCCAAAGCATTAATATTATGGGACCACAGGTTACTGTGGGGGAAAAAATCATTTGGATCAATATGCAAGTCAGAATTTTCTCTTGGCCCAGGTGTTGCTTTAAGAGCTCGCAGTGATGAGCGGCGCTTTGCGCCACTCGCTGCGCTCACCATAAAGTTAAAAGTAAAATTTTATTGCAAATACGTATATTTTGCATTATTATTTTATCTGGATACATGAACATAGAATTAACTATTCATCATAAAAATTAATATTTTTATTATATTTATTTATTATTTATTTTATATATATTTTTATATATTATTTATTTTTATTTATATTTTTTGTTCATATAAATGTAAAGTTTTATCAAAGATACTACAATGTAAAACTTATAACATTTCTGCTATTCTTAATATTTATATTTTGTAAAATATATTAAATTAGATATACATGATATAGATAATTTATCAAGATGGAGAAATTATAATGTTTTGAAATATCTGCTTTTTGTTTAGGAGTTTGCTCATCTTAGGGAGAGATTGCTAGAAGAGAGCAGGCCGTGGACATGCCCCGTGAGGGAGGTAAAATCAGACACTTACAACAGCATGTTAATCTCTCTAAATCGTCCCACCACCCTCAAAAGTGTGATATCATCCCTCCTGAATTCTGAAGTTTCACAGGATTCCAACTCCATTGATGACAGAGAGAGTAATGAACTTAAGGGAGATAAATCTGTACCTGCAGTTAATGAAACTCACAAAATCAAAAGACGGACATGTGAAAAAACTGTTTTAGTTAATGCTCCTGACTGTTCTGATTGTCAATCATTAGAACAGCTGAGGGGACTGGTGCTGACTCAGCATATATTACAGCTGTTAAAGATTAATGGGTAAGTAAGACTTTATAAAGAAGTTCTCTTTATTTTGCAATCAAGAAACAAATTTCTCTATGCAGTTGAACCAAGCAGGTAAAAGACAATAATTACCTTTGATAATGCTATTTGAATATTCTCTCTTTTAGATTAAGAGGCAAGCTTGCAACACAACCTGTGACAGAAAATTCTAAAAGATGGTTTGAACTGTTAAATTTTGATTGTGGATTTTTGGAAGAGCAAGAAGAAATCTGTGATGTTAAACATATCCTAGATGTAGCAAGAGGGTCTGAGTACAGACTTCAAACCAAGGGACAGGAAAATAAACTTGTAGAATCAGAGACCACATCAAATCACGAGCCTAGTGTGAATACCTCAGAGTGTGTGGTTTTAAATGCTGAAGATTTTTTGGCATCAAAAACAACAGAAGATGGTGATTTTGATAAAAATCTAGGAAAAATTCACCGTAAGTACATATATTAAAAATGAATAATTGAAAGACGTATACAAATCTTCAGGTAATGATGACTTGGAAGTAAAGGCATCTAAGACATTAGTATTGGAGTTATATAAGATTGGTGTTATTCAAAATTACATGTATTTGTGTTCATACAAGGCTTAGTGTTGATTATACTCATGTGTTGACTGCAATTGATTTGTTTTACAGTCATGGATGAAAATGGACATACAGATACACTGATTGAAATATCACACCTTCAGAAGTGTAAGGAGAAGGTACATTGTGTATTTATGCAAATTTCAGAATAAATAAATGCATTTGACATTGAAAAAAATCCAACGCTTACAACACTTAACAAATTGACAGTTAATTGCTAAACAGTAGATGTGATACATGGATGCACAAGTGTATTGCCAGAATAATAAAAACAACCTGATCAAAATTATTCATTTTTTGCACAATGTAAAGAAAATATATTTTTGTCAATTTAACAAAATATCCTAAGGTTGTAATGTCATATGCATGTGGAAACAACATTTATCCCTGGTCGGCACACTACAATTTGTTGACTTTTAAAAGTACAATTGATAGCAATGTTTTCTTTATTAACCAAGTTATGCAGAAATATAATATTGCAAAATTACCTTCCAAAAAATGATCTGGAGTACTGATGTGTAAAAATTCATTAATTTAAAATCACAAATGACAAAAATAATCTGTGGGCTGGACTTGAGGATTTACTCCTGTCCATTTTCAATCCTGCATCCATGGGATATTTCAAAGGTTTTCGATAGAAACGTACCTTTTCTGTGGTTAAACTCTTCTACTCATAACTTTCTTGTTTTTCAGATGGATCAGTGTGCTTGTGTCTTACACATCATTCCAGACAGGAAAAATTTTCAGCAACAGAAAATTCATTTGGGTTGGCAGATTTTGACAAAGGATGCCCCCAGACAGGTACCGGGTAATTTTTTTTTTATACATATCAGTATGTTGTTTACTTCTGAATTTTTAGACTACCAGTATTACAATATACAAATTCACACAGGAACCTCATCCATGATATATCCTTTTATAAAGTTTCAGTTGTAGATCAAAGTATATAAGAAATAATACTACATTTAGCAATGTATTTAGATTTTACTTTTTTCTTTTAGATTCATCAGATGTATGGTTCAGTTACAGAAAGAAAATCTAAAGAGTCTCAGAAAATGGACTCACAGACTTTTTACAAGTAAGTTGAAAAAGTTTACTTGTACATGTATGTGTGAAATAAGTATTTTAATGCTGGATCATAAACTAAAATCTGGTATATGGACTGAAGATATCCACAATGCATCTGTTGTCTAGATTTCACATATCAAACTGTAAATTCTTTAATAGCAATTTCATGTATTTCAAATGTTTTGTTGTAAAAAAAAAAAAGTTATCAAATTTTGAAAATTATCCCTGCCTCTCACAAATTTGCATATGTTCTCTCTTTTTCCTGAAACATTATTTATGGTAAATGATATTAAGCTTTCCTGTTGTTCTAGTTTGAGGTTTGACCAAATGAAAGAAGCTTCAGTCATGAAATATGGGGAACGTGTCAAAGGTAAAGCAGTTTTTTTTGTATACTTGATAAGAAGAAGATATTCTGACTTGTACTACATTGTATTTTATAAAAAGGGTCATTTTAAAAGTATGAATGTTGTGTTACTGAATATATGGAGTTAGAGAGATAGTTTTTAGTACCTTTACATCATTTCGCAGAGTTATACCCCTTTAATTGTATGACTGTCTTAGAATGTACTGTACAAGTAATTAGTATGCATGACTGTATAATAATTCAGGTGCTGGGTGGAACAAGACAATAGAGAACTTAACCATGGCAAGTGTCAAATTTGAGCTGCTGCATAATGTCCCACGGAATACTGTAAGTTACATGTAGATCTTAAAGAATGTTTTCCCCTAGTTACTCTGAATCCAGATTTTGTTATAATTTAAACACTTCTTATTTGTTGACAGGTGAAGCTGGACTTATCAGAGGGGAATGAATTTGGAGGAGGTATAGACAACAGAGCGGGGGCATTTGTGATGTATAACTGTGCTCGACTGGCCACTCTATTCAAACATTTCCACAAGGCAGTGGAAGAAGGTATAATTATGTTCCTCCCTCTGTTGTTTTTTACATTTCAATTTTTTTTTTAGATGTAATAGTAATAAAGGAAAGCATGATGTTTTTATTTAATTTGCTCAGTGTAGCTTTTTCATCCCAGATCATATTTGCACACTGCAGGACGTAGAATTGCTCTAAAGTATTTTGTATTATTGGTATTTCATGTGCCCTTAGGATAATTGTATTGTAGCATATGTAGTGTTCTCTTGTACCAACGACACAGGTTCAATTCAATGTCTTTATTAACATGGACACATTCTGGCATTGTATAACAAAGTCCTTGTCTCTGACATAGTATGACAAAGTCCCTGTTTCTGACATAGTATGATAAAGTCCCTGTCTCTGACATAGATTGACTACAAATGAAATGTAAATATAATAAATACTTGTACTCAATACAGAATATACATATAATGTAACCTTTTATCAATATATATCATGACACAAAAAGTGCTCCTTATATTAAACTTTGTAAACAGTGGTAATATGACAAATTCCTACTCAAATTCAATGTAACAAGTAAATGCATATAGCAGACAGTATGTAATAAATAATTAATATATAATTACCGTGATGTATGTCTGGTACTTTCAGCTAGAACACAACAAACTACTACACTCATTGATCTAAATATGGCGCTCGTGCATTTCTCAACATTTGATAAACGTATCATTCTGATAAAATTGGAATGCACAGAAATCGAAACTTACGGACAAAATTGGAATTCAGAATAAAATATACAGATTGTCCATTACACCGGCCCCTAAATGTGTTTTTACAAAAACATATTTATCAAAAATGGACAAAACAATGTATCCAAAATGAGTTAATTCACTAAACGTTTCATTGCACAAAGGTTCACTGATTTGTTTTCTCTTTTTCACAATCTGTTTCCAAAAGAAGACAAAGTTTTGTCACTGGCCGCGTAATAATGGAAGACACTGTCTTTATCCTTGCAACACGCACAACATCATAGTTGTCCTTTATCACTTCGAGCACTCTACCAAGATTCCATGCATTTCTTGGAGTGTTTTCCACAATGAGAACTAAATCACCCTCTTGTAAGTTTCTTTCCTGCTTCAGCCACTTCTGTCTCTGTTGGAGAAGGGGTACATATTCTCTGATCCAACGTGTCCAGAAAACATCAGCCAAATACTGAATCTGCTTCCATCGACGTTTTGCGTAGTTGTCAGATGTATGGAAAATTCCAGGGGGAAAGCTCTCTCCTGATCTCATGAGTAGTATATGATTTGGTGTAAGTGCACAAAGGTCATTCGGATCATCTGAAGCTTCTGTAAGGGGTCGTCCATTCATAATAGCTTCAATTTCACAAAACAAGGTTAACAGTCCCTCATCATCCAAATGAATTGTTTGTTCATGTAGAACAGAATACATGATTTTCCTGACTATCCTGATGAGGCGTTCCCATACTCCTCCAAAGTGAGACGCAGCCGGTGGATTAAAGCTCCATTCAATTCCTGACTGTAATAATTGACTGGAAATGCTGTCCGTATTCCAGGAATGAAGTGCTGTTCTTAGCTCACGTTCAGCACCTACCAGATTCGTTCCATTATCAGACACTATATAAGTTGGTTTTCCTCGTCGTGCAATAAGCCTTCGAATGGCGTCAATACAGGAGTCTGTATTCAAGGAAAAGGCAACCTCTAAATGTACTGCTCGGGAAGATAGACAAGTAAATATGACACCGTACCGTTTTACTATGCTTCTTCCTCTTTTAAGCTCAAATGGACCAAAATAATCCATTCCCACTCGAGTAAAAGGGGGGTCATCAGGTTTCAGTCTCTCGCTGGGAAGGTCTGCCATTTTCTGTTTCAAAGTAGGTGCCTGATATCTTCTGCATATAACACATCTGGAAATGATGGACTTCAAAATTGATGACACACCAAGAATCCAATATTTCTCACGAATAAGTGCCAGCGTTGAATTTTTTCCCAAGTGTCCGACAGATTTATGTGCTTCCTCTGCTATTAACCTGGCTAATACAGACTCTTTGGGAATAATAATTTGATGTTTACTGTTAAGAGTTGTATCCAGTTTCTTAAGTCTACCGCCTACACGTAGAACTCCATTGTGAACAATTGGGTCTAACTTGGCTAATCTTGATAACCTTTTAACAACTCCATTTTCACTTGAATTCAAGTCTTTAAATTCTTGGGCAAAATGCTTCATCTGCACATACTTCAAAATGTCTGTTTCTGCTCTGTCAAGAATGTCTACATTTAATGAAGGTCTTTGTGTATCATTTTTCAATCTGTTATGCTTTTCCTTCATTTCTAATTCTTGTATTTTCTCTTCTGTCAGTCCCTCCGATATCATTCTTGATCTCCATTCTCTTTTCCTCTTCATTATTCCTTTGAGGTTTTCTCGCGCTAAGAGTAGCCATCCAGTCACTGTTTTCAGCTTTTTCCAGGAAGAGAAGTGCTGGAGTAATCTCTCCATTCCTTCTACTGTTTCTGTTTCAACTGCTGTGTTGACGCTGTCCTTTATTTCAGCACTGTTAATTTCTGATGAGTCGCTAATGATTTCAGTAGACGGCCATGAAACATCTGCTTTCCATAACCACTCAGGACCACTGAACCATGCTGCTGAGTCAAGAAATCTACTTACTACTGGTATTCCCCTTGACGCAGAGTCTGCTGGATTATCTTTAGAGTTGACATAGTGCCACTGGTTGACTGTAGTTGCTGCATGAATTATGGCAAGCCTATTGGCAACAAATGTTTGAAAACGAGTTTTTGTGTTATTTATGTAACGAAGAACTGACATGCTATCTGTCCAGAAGTAAACTTGATCAACTTGATATTCCAATTGTTTTGTAACTATCTTGCATAATTTCACTGCTAAAGTTGATGCCGTCAACTCAAGCCTCGGTATTGTCACTGTTTTTAACGGTGCCACTCTTGACTTTCCAAGAACAAAGGAACAGTGGATTTGTCCAGTCTCACTGATGAGTCGTAGATATATAACAACTCCTATTCCAACTTCACTTGCATCTGCAAAACAGTGCAACTCCTGACATGTCGTCCTCCCGAAGTCTTGTGGCTTGTAGCATCTTTCAAGTGTTACATTTTCAAGTTCTTTTGCTTGTGTCAGCCAATTTTTCCAGTCCTTAAGCTGACTTCCTTTAATCTCTTCATCCCATCCAATTGAATTTTTGCACATTTTTTGAAGAAGTGTCTTTGCTGTCATCACAAAAGGTGACACGATACCAAGAGGATCAAATATTGAGCTCACTATTGATAGAATTCCTCTTCTGGTTGTTGGCTGATTTTTAATGTTTATCAGAAATCCTAAATGGTCACTGTTAACAAGCCAGTACACACCTAGTGCACGTTCTACAAGTGTTTCACTTTCACCTTCGAGGTTCCATTCCTGCACATCTTTAGCTCGATCATCTTCTGGAACAGATTCTAAGACTTGTTTTGAGTTACTAATCCATTTTGTCAGATGAAAACCACCTTTGCTACAAAGTGTAGACAGATCTTTAATGAGTAAGGCCGCTTTCTTCTCTGTGTCAACCGAAGCCAAACAGTCATCTACATACATATTCTTGAGTACTGTGGTCACCACTGTAGGATCAAAGTCGGAACCATATTCTTTAGCTGTCTGTTGTAGTGCATAGTTACAGCAAGTTGGAGAGGAAGTGGCTCCAAAGATGTGAACTTTCATTCTGTATTGTTCAGGGTTGGTATCCAGATTGCCATCCTTCCACCACAGAAATCTTAAACAGTCTCGATCTTGTTCAGGGATTAATACTTGGTGAAACATAGCCTCAATATCTCCTTGTATAGCAATTTTCTCCTGACGAAATCTTAAAAGTACACCAAGTAAACTATTTGTAAGATCGGGTCCTTGGAGTAACTGGCTGTTTAGTGAAATCCCCATATACACTGCAGAGCAGTCAAACACAACTCTAATCTTCCCTGGTTTTTTATCGTTGTAAACTCCATGGTGCGGTAGGTACCATACTCTGCCATCATCTCTTTGTAGCTGACTTTGAGGAACAGGTTCTGCATATCCCTTCTCAAACAGCTTATTCATAAAAGTCTCATAGTCATTTCTAACCTTTGGATCCTTTATCAGTTTCTTCTTTAGACTCCCAAGTCTCTGAAATCCTTGCATGATATTGTTGGGTAACTGAATTAAGGGATCCTTAAACGGAAGTCCAATTGAGTAATGACCATCCTGAATGTGAATAGATTCTGAAACTTGAGTTAAGAAGCTCTTATCTTCTAAAGAGTTTTCTTTTACATCATCCACAAGACGTTCTAGAAAGTCATAGTTTATGGAATCTTTCACCATCTTTTCTAAGTTTATGTCTCTTTCCTGAGCATCTTCTATAGCTACTCTGTTTATGTCAAATGTATCTGATGCATTTTCTCTTATGACATTCCATACTATCCATCCTAGTCGTGTCCTTGTTGCGTGGGGAGAACCACTTGGCCCAGCAATTACTTCCAATGGAGAGTAGGCATCTGGTATGTTATTTCCAATCATAATTCCAATTTCTGCATCTATTTCTGATGTTTGAATTGTTGACAGATGTGGCCACTGTTTTAACTCTTGCTGCGTTGGAATGTGTTCTTTTGATACAGGCATATGTTCCTTTGTATACACATTCGGTAGATCAATCACATGTTCCATTGAAAGTCCACACACTTGCAAACCACTGATAACATATGTGTTCAACCTCTGAGAATTCCCCATTGTCTTTATGGTGATTTGTTTCTTCTTGCCATTTGCTCCAAGCCTATGCATTATGTTTTCTGTACAAAATGACACACTGCTGCCAGAGTCAAAGAATGCATAAGTTTCTATGCTATACGGTTTATTTTTCAGTTTTACTCTCACTGGAATTATTGCCATAGCACAGGTTGTTTCTCCGGCCCCTTTATCACTAAAGGCACTGATGTGAGGTTTGGAGAACTTGCATGTAGTTTTGATATCTGTTGACATAGGATTAATGTTTTCTTTGTCTTCATCTGTACGTTTTGCTACACATTTCGCAGGATCATGTAGGATCGTAGGGTGACGCCTACTGCATATGGAACACTTAAGTCTTGCTTTGCACTTTTTAGTTATGTGGCCTTTCCTAAGACATCCATAACACTGTCCATTATTTCGCAGGAAGTTGTATCTGTCTTGAAGTCCTTTGGTTACAAACTTCTTGCAGTCATTCAGTGCATGGGTACTACTTTCACAGAATTCACATTTCTGTTCTCGTACATTAAAGTCTTGTACTTCACTTGTAACATCAGTAGACGCAACAGCTCTCTTCTGGTTACGATCTTGATTTCTGGAATTTCCACCAATAGATGCATTACCATACGTAGGATCATTCGATTTCTTAGCTTCTGTTTTCACAAAACTTACAAAATCTTTAAACTTCACTGTCTTCTTGGCTTCTTTAGTTTTCAGTACAACATTTCTCCACCTATCATGCATATACACAGGAAGTTTTGTCATAAGTCTCTTTATGTTGTCTGAATAATCTAAGACAGAAACACTATCGATGCTTTCAGCTGCGTTCTGACACTCCACAAGGAACAAGGAGAACTCATCTAGCATCTTTGCATCCTTCACTGCTGGCCAGTCTAATGCCTTCTTTATGAATGCTGTTGCAATTACCTCACTGTCTCCGTACCGCTCTTCAAGCTGATTCATAGCTGCTTTGTAGGCTCTGTCTCCTGACATATGACTAAATCCAGACACTACTTTGTATGCTTCCCCAAAAGTCATTTGCTCAAGATAATTCATTCGTTCATCATTGTCTTTAGTATTCATCACTACTTTGGTATTAAACTGTCTGACGAAACGTCTAAATTCTAATGGATTGCCTCCAAATTTTTTTATCTCTGGTACAGGTTTCCGGAGGTATTGTACAACACACTGCATAGCATCAGATTCAGAGGTCTGTGGTTTTGTTTCATCTAGGCAATGAAGGTCAAGTGGTGGAATTTCTTCACGTTTGGGTATGAATGTCTCTGCGTTTGGATTCAGAGGCCTCTCAAACAAGGACGGTACTGATGCAAACTCACTATGAAACAAAGGTGTTCTTGGCGTTGGTTTTGGTGCTAATGTTCTAGGATTCACTATATCAATGTTAGAAACATCATCATGCAAATCAGCATCACTACACCTTTCATATTTCTGAAGGACTTCTGTTTTAGCATTCGCAATAGCAATATTTGTATTCAAGTCCAACTCTTCTTCTTCAAGTTTTAGTTTGACTTTCGCTATCTCTAACTCCTTCTTATGGGAAAGTGCTGCTTTGCGAGCTTCTAACTCAGCTACTCTTTGTTCTTCTTCAAGGCGTTTGGATGATATACTTGTAACTATAGATGTGCGAGACTTGGACTTCAAGCTTCTGACAGTTTCTTTTGTTGCTTCTACTTGTGATTCCTCCTTTACACTCTGGTGGTAGGAAAAGAACTCCTCTATTTCTTTCTTAAAGTTCATGAGAAACACATCGTAATCATAATGAGTCTTAAGCAATTCTTCTCTCTCCTCCTTGTCAGTTATTTGAGAGACAAGTTCATCAAATATAACAAGAAAACGCTCATAATCCTCAAGCCATGCAGCATACTTTCTTCTTACTGTTTCTGGAGATTCATTATCAGAAATAATCTGTCTTATCACACCACTTGTTATCTTCAGTGTTCTAAATGTTTTATTGTATTGTTCTTGTTTATATACCTTTCCTTTGTCTGTTAATTTTCTGTTTCGTGTTCCCGATCCTGTTTCTTCTGTAACGGGCATTATGCTCATAACCTGGATCGCTCATGGAATCACGTCAATGCTGTAGTGTTCTCTTGTACCAACGACACAGGTTCAATTCAATGTCTTTATTAACATGGACACATTCTGGCATTGTATAACAAAGTCCTTGTCTCTGACATAGTATGACAAAGTCCCTGTTTCTGACATAGTATGATAAAGTCCCTGTCTCTGACATAGATTGACTACAAATGAAATGTAAATATAATAAATACTTGTACTCAATACAGAATATACATATAATGTAACCTTTTATCAATATATATCATGACACAAAAAGTGCTCCTTATATTAAACTTTGTAAACAGTGGTAATATGACAAATTCCTACTCAAATTCAATGTAACAAGTAAATGCATATAGCAGACAGTATGTAATAAATAATTAATATATAATTACCGTGATGTATGTCTGGTACTTTCAGCTAGAACACAACAAACTACTACACTCATTGATCTAAATATGGCGCTCGTGCATTTCTCAACATTTGATAAACGTATCATTCTGATAAAATTGGAATGCACAGAAATCGAAACTTACGGACAAAATTGGAATTCAGAATAAAATATACAGATTGTCCATTACAGCATACATCATTAAATCTTTTACATTTTATGTGGTATTATAGTACCAGACTAGATTAATTCATATACTTTGGAAACACCTAAATACAATATATTAATAGACATATAAATTGATGATACATTAACAATCAGTGTCCAATTCAACACAGGTTAGTTGGCAGAACCATTCAATTTACCAAGAATTTATGAAAACCAAACTTGTCTGGATGATGTATCAAGGGATGCTTATTATCAGTCTTGTTTTGAAAACTGCATCTGACCTATATTTTTAGATGTATGACCACATAAAAATTTTGGAACAGGTCCTTTCCTAAGTAACTATATAAACCCTACCCTGACCAAGGTAGCATTGATGATGCATCTAGCAGTATATGTACATACACATGTACTAATCACATTGCTTGAAGATGTGCAAGTGATGTTTATCTTTTGTTGTTCAATACGAAAGGCATCTAACAATGAACTGACAATATGTATGAAACTTTGGTTTGAGACTCAGTCTGCCTTTACAGATATTCATTGAGGTGAGCTTTATAATGTTTGGTTACATTGGTTTTTCTGTCATTTTTCAGGAGTGTATCCTCCTCTACCTAGCATTGATTCCATTGACTTTGGGTTGTTAAGAGAAGAGGTAAATCTATCATGAATTAGTCATGAACATGTCATTAGTCTATGTATTAATAAAAGGACAAGAAATTCTTTTTTAAAGATTTTTACAATACTGTATGATATACCCTCTTTATCTTAACTTTTCATTTTTTCTCATTTCAGGATGAATGGTCATTATTTTTCAATTACATTTTTCCCTACCCTGATTTACTCAGAACTACCGTGTCTGATCTGTTTCCATCTAATGATGGGATTTATGCAAAACTTGGAACACATAAGGTACAGTATTACAAGATACCGGTACAAGAATAACAATTAAAATAAACTTTGCGTCAACACAAGTTCTTTCTAATGTCAATCAGAGACCATATTAATTTATAATTAATGTATGTACTGTAAACCAGCTTTTATTTGCATGTTGGAAATATCCGTGAGTTTAGTGGCCTTCATTTACTCTGGAGTATTTCTCTCTGCAAACCAATGATTTACACATGTACTTCTGTATTATTTTATGTAAAAAAAATATTTCCTCAGTCATGAAAATTAATAGTTGTAGATGGATTTCAAACCTATGAGTCAAGAATAAAATATATCGTAAATAAAAGTTGTTTTACAGTCATGATATAGTTATATGTTTTTTTGTAGATAAGTAACTTCCTGATTGGTTTGAGTCGGAGTTTAAGCTCCTACTACAGCCATGTCCATGTACTTGTAGTAAGTACGTTTTTGTCTTTCTGTGTACCATAATGATTCTTGTAAGAAATCCATTCTGCTCGTTAGTCTTAGATTTAATACTAGACATCTAATTACAGCCACAGGTGCTTGGGGACAGTGAAAATAATTCCTTTTCATTGTAGGAAAATCGTCCTAATTTAATGCCCACCATGTTTGCAAGACTATATCTGCTGAAGGCCATTCATTATATCCTAAAGGACGGTCTTCATTTGATGGGAATCTCTCCACCAACTCAGCTATAGGATGAACTTCTCTCCTCTCTCACCGCTCCTTGGGTCAACTATGAAATGACTAGTGTATGGAGGAATGCTCATGGAAAGGCATCCTATAGAACAACTTACTATATTAGGTTTTTAAAATAGGTCAAGTTAAAGATGTAAAGGTTCTGAAGATATGGCCAAGTGAAGAGAATTTTTTGGACAGCTTTTTTAATTTTTTTTTTTTTTTTTTTTTTTTTTTTTTTGTGGTTTATCAAAATAATGGGGGACAACAATTTAAAAGTATTTTATATGTTGAATTTTCTGTTAATGCTGGGGGTTTTTTTTATGCAAAGTAAATTTTACTTTGTAAAATTAGTGAAAAGGAAAAACACAAACTGTTATAAATGCATTATAATATTTTGAATAAAAAGAATTTTAAAAGACAAATAAACTTTGAATTGTGTTCATAAGGGATTTAAAATTCTCGGTGTTCATGTTGAAAAAAATATTGAAGAGAAAACTTTGTAGCTATAAATGTGAATATAAGACAAGGGAATGAAAAAAAAATGTCTAATTTCTTCTAGATTTTATTATTCCCAAGACTGTATCTATACATCAGTGCATAAATTTTAAGAGTAGATGTGCATTTAAACAACAAACATTTTCTACATGACATATTTTTGTTATCTGAGAGCTTGTTTCCTTAATTTTCACTTGATCATAGATGCTCTTCTCTTCAGCATGGCATTGTTGTCTTTGTAAACTTTAGGTAATTCAAACAAGGAAAAAGTAAATGCAGGAGTGAAGTCCAGATTAGATATCCCAGTGATCACCTGACGAGGTTCTTGTGTAGATGGGACCTCGGGCTCTGGCTTCGGTTGAATTTTTGGTACTCGGGTCTCAACTGCTGGGAATTTAGAGGCAAGACAGAACCTCCTGTCGATACCAAAGTTCTTTTTCTTTTGCTCTTGCTGGTTTTCATTGGAAGAGCTGACAATACTCATTACTGCTGAGCTCTAAGAAAAAAATTATTTTTTTTTCCTAATTGGGATTTATGCAAAAAATTTAATGAAAGATTATAGCCGTCCCTTAGTATTTATACATACATGTTCTATATTGCAAACATTGTTTTTTCTTAGTTTTATCTGTGTTTCTGTCAAATTTTTATGGAATGAGATGTAAACAATCCCTGTTTACCTTGACATCTGGCAGTGACCTGTTGGTGACTTCTGGTAATGATTTGTTAGATGTAGATGACCCAGCACTTGTTTTTGATGGCATTGTTTTCAGTAGATGATTCAAAGTCAATGATGAAAGATGAGGCCGGACAACATCAGGATCTGGTATTGGATGAACTGTAAACAGACCATTTGAGAAAATTTCATGGTACATGGTATAGCTGATGAAATCTTTTTCAGATTTTGTATTGGTTGCATATTTTGAAGGCAGTTTCTACTTCTCAATCTCCAAAGACATCAAAATGTTACCATGCATGTGTTATCAATTTATAACATTTGACACACATTGGAATAATCTTATCATACTGTATCATTTAAGTTTTATCATGAAAGTAATATTGCATCCCTAATTTGTCCTGAACATTTGTTCATTTAAAATTATTGCTGATGCAATCTTACGTGGACTTGGAAATGTTGATTTCTGAGACTTAGAAGGTGAATTAGACACGACATAAGCCCCGACTTTCTGTGTTGGTTTGCGGGCAGGTTCTTTCTTCTTGAAGACATTGATATCTTCCTTTTCATAAGAAACTGGTACCACTGCCATAGACCGCTTTATCTTCTCTCCAATAGAATAGCTCATCCGAACAATGGTGTCTTTGGCCAGAGAATTGGAGTACCTGCTGTTGCTTTTAATATTAAAAATTTAAAACAATATATTGAACATTGCGTTTTGTTGCCAGTTTCAAAAACAGCACTGATGAACAAATGAGATTAGGTTGAGATATTAAAAAGAATTTTAAAAATCTTACCTCCTTATGGTGCTGAAACTATCACAAGAGCTAAGGGGGCTGCCAGAAATGATGGAAGATGGCCTGTTATCACTTTTCTCCTTTGTGATCAAAGGAGGTTCTACCTCCGACCTAGAGTGTACTGTCACATCAGTATCTGGAGTACTACTCAAAGGTGTTACATGATTGTTATCCTCACAAGGAGTGGATCTAACAGATGCTATAATATCAGGGGTGGATCTATAACTTTCTGTGTTTTTGAGACCAATATGAATGGAGGCATGGTAGTTACTGAGAGCAGGAAAACTAGTGAGCTGAATGGGAACAGTTTGATCTAAAAAGAAATTAATGTGTTTATTATAGACACATTATTACACTTGTTCATCATGTACACTTGCAACAAATATCTGAAATATCGTTTATTATGATGCACAACACATGTAAATGTATGTTATTAATTTTTTTTTACCAGTATTACATATACCAGCCCAATAATGAGCATTTATGAATCTACTACATTAAAAACCATTCATGAGGACTGGACATAATTTTATCAATTAATAAAATTACACATGGTCTCAATTGAATTTATTAATAAGCAATATGAATATACGCGTATACAGTGAATTTGACCAACTGGCCACAAGAACCGAGGAGGAAGAATTTTGCCAATATATAACGTTACTATAAAATAGAAAATGTTTTAAGTATTTACAGTTGCCTCTTTATCATCAAGAAATTTAATTGTGCTAATACTAGTAATTCTCAGATGTGCATTTACCATTCAGCCTGAAATTGCTTTTTATGGGCCTCTACTGCATGTCGATATTGATTAGTTACGTGGTTTGTCAGGCCCATAGGTGGAAATTACAGGGGGGGGGGGGGGGCAACTAAATATTTTCAGTTTGGGGGCACTATCAAGTAAAAATTCCTTGAAAAGCTAAAAAAAAAAAGTCATCAGACGTTATTGCTGAGGGGACACAAGCATTAAGTAGACATGTTTTCTATAGTATACTATATACCAGCAAAATTATTGGGAGAGAGGGCACGCCCCTCCCCCTTCCCGGTTCCTACGGCCATGTTTGTCTTGCAGGAACTTTTTAAATGATCCGTGTTGGCTCTGCTCCTAGTTTGTATATTGTTTAATTAATAGACTTCTGAGAATGATCAGTTGATCACTGTTCGTTATCTTCACATTTTATCATATTTAGTACCATTTGAGAATATTAAGCATATTCTCATATCTTGCATGTGAAATGCATTTAAAATGATATGGTATACCTTCAGGACTCGAGGAACATTCAAACGATTTTTGACTTTGACGGGTGAGGCTTATTCTCAATTCATTTGATGAAGACATCAAACTGTGTTCAGGCTGACTTTGAACCGATCCATGAACAGCATCAGAAAGCGGCTCAGAGCTAGCATCATTGGAGGAAATTTCGAACTTTGGTGCCATGTTTAAAGCTGCCTTCTTTTGTCTACGGCGATTTCCTGGTGGTGTTTTCGTTTCTGCTTCCTTTTCTTCATCGGTAGATTCGTCGTCGCTGCGATTAGACATGACGGACTTTCTTCCATTTTTACCCTTTTTCTTCGTTCTTTTCCATCGATTGTATCGTTTATCTGTAACTGGGCTGTAGCAAATATCTGTGGGCATTCGAAGATCTACAAAGACCGATAAAGAACTGTTTATAAAATATTTTCATATGCAACACTCAAAAAAGACAGTAGCGTGCTAGAGGGCAAAGGAAATGGACTAAAACGTCTAGTTTATCGAAAACTTTTTATTTTACCTGTGTATGAATATAATTATACAATATTAATAGCAGCTATGGGTCTACAAAACTCTAAAAGTTACGAATACCTCGGAAAAACGTTTGAGATGGTAGCACATTTTCCGGAGCAGACGAAGCCTTCTTTGCTGTGTTTCTCAAAGAAATACTTCGAAGAGAATCAACACATCCTTGAAGTAGGTTGTGTAAATCATCGCTGAAATATGAATAGAGAAGTTATTAGAAATTTGATGAATATAAAAAAATTGTTTTCGTCTGTTGACCAATTACTGATTCTGGTACTCATAACTATGTGCCCGAAACAATTAAAGATTTATTCACTTTACCGTTTTCAAACATACGAGTACACACATAAGAGTTGCATACAACAGGGATGACCAAAAATTCTGACAAACATGTAACACATGCATCACAACTTCAAGTCGACTGAACGTTTACCTAGAACACATCGCTTGTTGATGAAGGTCCTCCTCTTTTGAACTAAATGTGGTGACTATTTCTTGAAAACCATTTCCTGTCACTGCAACAGATCCCCCAACAGATGGCTGAGGGGCAGAAGGTATAGATGTCTGGCAATGACTAACTATTCTCGTCTCTTTTACATTCCAGCTATCTGCCCAATGAAACTTCTGATAATTTCCAGATTCAACAAATTCTGTCAATGACGAGCAATTTTCTCTGATGTCTGATCTTTCAATAATAACACCTTCATTTTGGTTGTTAACCCCGTCGATTCTTGGAATAACGTACAGTGGGTTCCGGTGGTATTCCGTGTTGCGGTAAGGTGTTGTTGTACGTGATGACGTGATATTGTTATTTTCTTCTAATTGCTCTTGTTCGGGAATCTTCTGTGATGGATATATTGTCTCCTCTTCATTTTCTAATTGTAAGGAATCGATACTGGTAGAACTTGATGAATATACTGAATCTGAAAACAGAATATAATAAATTAAGGTTCACTAACCCTCTGATAAGAGGGATAACTCTTAAATGACAATTATCCTTTGTACAAAAGACATTTATTTTAAATTTTGTTTTCCTTGAGGGATGCTTAAAGTGTGTGCAAATTAGTTCTAAATAAGATATATTATAGAAAATCATTAACATTAAAGCAAATTTTCGAATAAGTGAAAAGAGGGACGATGAACCCCTTTTGCGTTGAGTGTGGATTGTGACGTCATACCTGGTGATCTGTTTCTTGGAGGTGATTGAATCGAATTTGGGTCAAAACATGTTGTTGTCGGGACGCTTTTACTACGTATGAATGGTGCGTAATGTTCTGTCTGCTTATCCCATGGACTCTTGTAAAACACATATGGGTCAATCATCTGTTCAGAACAAAAAGCACGTGACATGACGTCATCATTATAGCAGAAACTGCTCTTGGTCTGGCGCTGGTAGGCTTGGAATGGACATTCTGTTTCAATGTTGAGAGATTCATGTTCAAGCATTCGAAGTTCGCACTTTCCACAACAGTAGCGTGGTCGCTTGATGAATCCTGGGTTGAAGTCTTTTGACTGTCCAAGAAAGAGACATAACGTTAACTTGGAATAAAGCGGTTGTGCATTGATATTCAAATGAATTATACCCTTCACTAAAAGATATTATCGAATAATAAAGACTTACACTCGCTGATCTAGAGGGAACTTCACAGTTTATGTGTTGCCCATCCACGGAAAAACTCTGATCCGCCCCTGGAGTGTAAGGGGTAGCTGGGGGCGTAAGAGGAGTCATGAAACCCCTAGATGAACACTCTGGACTTGAAGTATTCAGATTTTGTATTTGTTTATCTTTAAGACGCAGATTTCTGATGTCATTTTTCGCTCGTACTTGAAGAAGAGGAGTTACTCGCTTAAGGTTAAAAAAAAATAGTAAAATGTAAAATTCAGTTTTCGATAATTTATTGTAATAATCATTCAAATTACTGTAACAGTAAAGACCGTAGATATAGAAAAAATATGTAATTAAATCAAGAAAAATCTTACAACACTGCTAATGTTTCCTACTGCATCCAGACGCTCTCCAAACAAGGTTAGAGGTTTCTGCTCTGTTTGCTGGCTTTCTTCACAGTCATTGTATGGGTTAACAACATACTTTCCTGTTACGTTTACTTCCTGTCAAATAATTTGTGTTGATGCATGTCCAACAATAATATTATGATTAGAAAGAAGAAAAGCAAAACATACACCCCACCCGCCACCCCCATACAAAGACGTTATCCCCACCCCCTCAAAAAAAAAAAAAAAATAAAATAAAGAGCAAACAAAAAAAATGACAAAGCAAAAGCAAAAAGCACACATTCTGTCATCTACCTGGTAGATATCAAGATCTATTCTATCCCTGAAGTCAATGTTTAAAATACATTGTATTACATATAGAAAAGTTGAAAGTTAAAGTAAAAAAGGGGCATACTTTTGTGCATTTTTTTAATAGAGACAAAATCCGAAAAAAGTCCATCCTGAGTAATGCGGTTCTCGAAAATATATAATCAGATAACATATGCAATGATCTATAATAATAATTTTGTATGAGAATTGTTTTTTGATAAACACAATATAACATATTGAAGATTTTGGTAATTTAAAAGATTCGAAATAAGTTATCTTTTACATGTATCAACCTATACGAGTATAATTATCTACCTCAGAGTCGTGTCGTGGGGTGGTGCAGTGACCATACACTTGGCTCCCCTCCCTAGATAGGAGGGGGGTCCCCTGTAATGGTTCCCGAGGAAGATCAGATGAAGGCTTCCGTGGACTTATAAGGTGAAATCCCTGCAGTTATCAAAGAAAAATGTTTAATTTACAGCAGAGATGAAAAAAAATTGTGGCTTTCAAATGCAACAATGAGTCTGAACAGTAAATGCATATACATTGTATATACAAATGTATATATATAAGATAAAGATGAAAATATTTATTTAGAATAGAATTTTAACCATCTATACAATGCACTAGTTCATGTATATATTACAATATAAATGTAAAAAAATTATCAATATTAAAGTATATATATATTTTTTAATTCTCTTTGAATTAAATCTTGTGAAAATAAAACTGTAATTATATATTTTATAGAACTTTGGTACATGTAATAGAAATTTTATAAAGAAAATCTTAACTCTTCTCAGATTCACAAGAAAACTGTATTGTTAGATTATTTATATATTTATTTATTTATTTGTTTACTGTATACATGTATGTTGTTTACGTAATACATGTGCATGTTTATGTACATGTACCTTTGTGATTTTGGTCCTTTGAGCCAGGCAGATGTTAATACAGGGGTTCAAACGAGAACTTTTTGTTACTGGAGGTCTTTGTTGAACAACAGCCCCGACAGACATTGTTTTGGTTATTGCTCTACATCTGAAAAAAAAAAGATTTTAAAAAATATAAGCCAAATATTGAAATACATTCATGGGTATTTAAATTAAAAAAAAACAAACTTAAAATTACTTTAAATTTTGCAGCAATATTAAAAAATAAATGATTTTCTAAAAGTACATCAAACCTTCAAGTTCGCTAAAAAGATGTTTCTCTCTAATGCCATTGTGACGTATTAATTCTATGACGTCACAATATGTGTTTGGCGTGGCACAGATTCACTGCTTTTGCTAACATTATGACGTCATAATTCAAACTTTTACAGCTAGGGCCTACATGTATCGCTAAATTTTGGAGAACTTTAAACCTTTTTTCGCGGGCATTCAATTTGACATCACGTGAAAAGTAATATGGATACCCAGATCTAATATGATTATTATTTAAAAATATTTTTTAAGGAGTCAAGAATTACATACAAACTACCATTTTCTCAATCTGTTGGGTAATATGGATTCATCGTGTTTAATTTGTGTGGCATGAGAAAAAATCCTAAATTTGAGGTGATTTTCATTATTTTGGATTGAAAATGACAGTTTAAAACCTATTATTTTATTGTTTTACCGAAAAATTATGCCCTATATACCTTTTAAATTTAACAATGATATGGTAATTAAGGATCATTGAAGTCTGGGAAACATGTAGAATCCTTTCAAAGACATCAAGTACCATAATTTAAATCCCCCCCCCCCCCAAAAAAAAAAAAAAACCAACTCATTTTATCATGGTTTATGTATGTAAACCATAGACGTATAAGAGTCTCATATATACGTGTTTGCGTAAACATATAAAGTCGCTGGTAAGGTATAGAATTTCACACTGAATTAAAATCATTCAAGTAGAATTTACTTTAAAAACGGAATATTAATTACATATAGATATATATTTAATAGAAATTTTAAATAGACTGGCCTTGCCTGTCTGATGTAGATAGAGCAAAGCCGTAACTACATGTAGGCTCAAATTTTTAGTGAGGCAAGGGAACTTGGGGCCACCCGAGTCCCAAGCGGGTCCAGGGTCCTGATGGAAATTCTCGGGGGAAGGGGGGAGGGCTCCCGAAACCTGGGCCCCGTTTTACAAAAGAACTCACGACTAAGACCGAAATGAAATTTTGCAAAATAACTTTCTAGCTTACATTAATTTTAAAATGGTTTTAATCTTTTTTACAAGAATTTAATTAGAAAGATATTTTTATGCTAGTAATTTTGAATTGAATCATTAATTTGCAAAATTTTACAATCCACTAAAGTTTTTGGTCGTTGTCATAAGTCCTTTTGTAATACGGGCCTCTGGGTTTAGTAAATAAAAGACAACCTTTGAAAGTTTTCACGTTTTGAATTATTTGTACATGCGTTCTAAACTGTAATGATCCACCTGGTGAGATGATTGATTTATACAAATTGAAACAAAAGTTGAAAGTGTTAATTTAGTACAAAGACACACATAATTAATTCAAATTCAAATTAAAACTTTTACACTTTTAAGAAAACTCTAAAAATTTTAGTGAAGCAACGGCCTGTACAAGAGACAGGCATGTTAAAAGGCATTACTCCCCTTTATTATTAGTTCTTCTGTGTTTGGAGATAAATTTGATCTCCGCTTTCCTGACAACATTTTTCTTGCACGATAATTTCCTCGTAATTTTGTTAAAGGTATACCGTGTCTGTTGATATTTAAGAGTCAGAATGGTATGATTTAGCTCATAGTTTACCGGGGAATGCGATGTTACTCATAAATTTATATTAGTATTGTGCAAAATAGATAAAATCATCACGTCTGCGAAGATCTGTAGATCAAACGTTTAACTTTTGTCATTTTGTGTAAACAGGTAAGTATTCTAAATAACATATAATGTCGTTAATCAGTTAATTCACAACTTAAATACCTTAAAGACTTTTCTATAAAATAGCATAATAAAAAGAGTTTTCAAACATATGGAAATAGTACATAATATTCAATACTTGATCAAATAACTCATACGAAGAATTTATTTGAATATTAATTATACGTATACTTATGTAGATTAGTAACACTGGCCATTGCAAATGCAATGTATTGTTTTCACTAGTAAAGTGGGGATCTTCTTTTTCAGAATAATCATGGATCAACACATCATTTTGGGCAGGATTGGTGAGGGGGCTCATGGAATTGTTTTGAAAGCTAAACATATTGAGGTAATTTTATGTACATGGATAAACATTAAACATAAACATTCTTTTTTCTTGCCATAATTTTTATATAATTGTTAAACTTTGGTTTGGTTCCTCATATATATGTGGTGAAACTGATACAAGCAAGTTTTATATTTTATATAGTTTTTCTCTAAATTGATTCAAATTCTAAATTTATTAACATGTGACCGCGCTCTCAGATGTCTTGGACATAATTCGGCGGTGCACGTTCATTGGGGAATTTAGCTCAAGGGTTTGGGGAATGTTAGGAAGCACATAAGTCCAAATTTGTAGGGTAACAATGACAGTTTATTAAAGTAACAGTGAATTCCAAACAACATAAAAACATAAAGATGCAAGTCCAAGTCCTAACTAAAATTTAGATAAAGCTGGCCTAAATAGAAATAGAATCTTAAAAGTTTCTTAGTCTAATTCCTACATGGTTCTTAATTAACACATCAACTCACTAGCTCTGTCACTCTAGATCTTTTTTAACTCTCTGTATTCTCAAATATATATTATTAACTAATTGTAAGAAATTACTCAATGTAAATATAGCCAAAGGGCAAAACTTGTCAACTAAGTAATCTGAACAATAGAATACTCAAGTGTCATCCTTTGATGTCAGGAAGTCAAAGAAGATTTATTTAATTAATCTAACACCTAATCAGTGACCATTGCTATCAGGCAGTATGAGTGTAAATGATTTACAATTGCTAAGAAAGCTCTAAATATTTCTGGGGATTAAGAATTAGCCAGATGTAAAATGTGTTTGTTTAGTTTCATTACTTAATTGTGAACAAATAACTTAGGATATCAAGAATTTATCAAAGTAAATGAATTACTCTGTGACCGCGCTCTCAGATGTCTTGGACATAATTTGGCGGTGCACGTTCATTGGGGAATTTAGCTCAAGGGTTTGGGGAATGTTAGGAAGCACATAAGTCCAAATTTGTAGGGTAACAATGACAGTTTATTAAAGTAACAGTGAATTCCAAACAACATAAAAACATAAAGATGCAAGTCCAAGTCCTAACTAAAATTTAGATAAAGCTGGCCTAAATAGAAATAGAATCTTAAAAGTTTCTTAGTCTAATTCCTACATGGTTCTTAATTAACACATCAACTCACTAGCTCTGTCACTCTAGATCTTTTTTAACTCTCTGTATTCTCAAATATATATTATTAACTAATTGTAAGAAATTACTCAATGTAAATATAGCCAAAGGGCAAAACTTGTCAACTAAGTAATCTGAACAATAGAATACTCAAGTGTCATCCTTTGATGTCAGGAAGTCAAAGAAGATTTATTTAATTAATCTAACACCTAATCAGTGACCATTGCTATCAGGCAGTATGAGTGTAAATGATTTACAATTGCTAAGAAAGCTCTAAATATTTCTGGGGATTAAGAATTAGCCAGATGTAAAATGTGTTTGTTTAGTTTCATTACTTAATTGTGAACAAATAACTTAGGATATCAAGAATTTATCAAAGTAAATGAATTTTATGAATGATATGAAATTTATTAAGAAAATCATTAAATATATTAAAATAAGTATCAAAAGTGAAATGGGAGCCATTTCACTGGTGATAAACATATAAATTATCATTGTCTTTACCTCAGAGTGGGGAGGTGATTGCTTTGAAGAAGGTCCCTCTTCGCAAATTAGAGGATGGAATACCACACACAGCTTTAAGGTCTCTATTCAAATGTCTTATATGTTGTAATATAATGACGATTTAGATTTGTTAATAGTAGATCATCTTGATTTTGATTCTTTTATCATGTATTTTATCTGTATGTTAGTACAAATGGATTACAGTTGAACTTTATGATCTAGAACACTGATTCATGTATTTTGAATGCCAGGGATATGTCAAAATGAATTGACAATTAAGTGCCAACTACTTTTTCTTCCTGTTTTCCAACCTTGTTATCTGAAATCCTCAAATATTTCAAAGTTTAATCTTAGGTCTCATCAAGTTCAAGATAATGAGGTTTGACTGTATGCATATATTTTTTTTCTGGACATACTTTTTTTCTTTAACAGAGAAATAAAAGCTCTCCAAGAGATTGAGGACAATCCATATGTAAGTATTTAAATTAAAAAAAAATCTTCAAACTAAGACAGTAGCTATTATTAATGGAAATATTTCTAGACAAAAATATTTCTTATGTATACATGGATTTGTAAAATGACAAAGTAGAACTAAATTATTTAATTGGACTATTTTTAGGTTGTAAAGTTACGAGAGGTGTTTCCCCATGGAACAAGCCTGGTCCTAGCTTTTGAGTACATGCTGTCTGACCTTTCAGAGGTCATCCGTAATACAGAGAAACCATTGACTGAGGGACAGGTCAAGTCCTACATGTTAATGCTGCTCAAAGGGGTGGCTTTTTGTCATGAGAATAACATCATGCACAGGGTTTGTTTATACATATCATAGTACAGTATTTACTTAAGTATGTCTCAAGTTAAAGGGCATAAGTACAGTTGAACTTTGGTCTAATATCAATACCTCAAATACCATGGAAATGTGGAATAAAGCTGGAAGTCCCAACCACCTTTTAAATATGCATTTTAATCTCAATATATTGAATCCTCAGATACCTCTCGGTTTGTTCTTGGCCATATTGATTTTGAGATAACCAGGTTTGACTGTGTATTAAACAGAAGTTTACAATATGACTTGATCATTTTCCTGTTAACTTAGCATTGCAAAAATTTCTTCAATAAATACTAATCTGCAATACATCACAAATTTTTAGCATAATAGATTGACATGCTAAGTATTTTACATTCTTACTGGGTTTCAGGATCTGAAGCCTGCAAACCTCCTGATAAGCTCTACAGGACACTTAAAGATTGCAGATTTTGGATTGGCTCGAGTGTTTCAAAACAAAGGCGAAAGACAATACAGTCACCAGGTGGCAACCAGGTATTGTTTGAAGTTTACACAGATGCCTCAGATTATTATCAAAGCATCACTATTACATGTGTATAACTTTTTGATTTGATAGCAGATTTGCTGGGGATTGTTCATTACTGTGTTTATTGCTTTAGAAGAATTAATCATTGATCCCAAGTTTTCTTTTTTCTGACGGTAAAATAATTCATATTTGAGAGAAGTTAGCATGTTTATAAGTCTCCTTTCAAGAAATAGTCAAAAATCTTCTATGATCATTGTTCAGAAATAAGTCATTGAATTATTGTACTCACTAGGTGGTATATACATGTAGCACCTGAGCTGTTGTATGGAGCTAGATCTGAGTATTGTTACAGTGACGTATATGTTTTCATTTGTTGTAGGTGGTACAGGGCTCCTGAGTTGTTGTATGGAGCTATAGATCTGAATATTGTTACAGTGACGTATATGTTTTCATTTGTTGTAGGTGGTACTAGGCTCCTGAGCTGTTGTATGGAGCTAGATCTGAGTATTGTTACAGTGACGTATATGTTTTCATTTGTTGTAGGTGGTACAGGGCTCCTGAGTTGTTGTATGGAGCTATAGATCTGAATATTGTTACAGTGACGTATATGTTTTCATTTGTTGTAGGTGGTACTAGGCTCCTGAGCTGTTGTATGGAGCTATAGATCTGAATATTGTTACAGTGACGTATATGTTTTCATTTGTTGTAGGTGGTACTGGGCTCTTGAGTTGTTGTATGGTGCTAGATATGAATATTGTTACAGTGACGTATATGTTTTCGTTTGTTGTAGGTGGTACAGGGCTCCTGAGTTGTTGTATGGAGCTATAAATCTGAATATTGTTACAGTGACGTATATGTTTTCATTTGTTGTAGGTGGTACAGGGCTCCTGAGCTGTTGTATGGAGCTATAGATCTGAATATTGTTACAGTGATGTATATGTTTTCATTTGTTGTAGGTGTTACTGGGCTCCTGAGCTGTTGTATGGAGCTATAGATCTGAATATTGTTACAGTCACGTATATTTTTTCGTTTGTTGTAGGTGGTACTGGGCTCCTGAGCTGTTGTATGGAGCTAGATCTGAATATTGTTACAGTGACGTATAAGTTTTTGTTTGTTGTAGGTGGTACAGGGCTCCTGAGCTGTTGTATGGTGCTAGAAAGTATGATGAAGGAGTGGATCTCTGGTAAGTTTTAAAATACACAGGCACCTGATGTAATCACCCCCTTTATGTTTGAGAATTTTTAAACATTATATTTTAATATAAAAAAATACTGGAATTCTTTTGTATATTATACTTTAAATTTTGATTTCCCATTTGTATTAAGTTTTAAAGATGCCCCTCTTTTGGTAATAAAAAATACTGTAGCATATAACTCAACAAAAATGGGTACATGTATTGATATCAGATATAAGATTTTAGATATGATTTGAGAGGAATTCATTTATTTTTGATGTTACCATGCCTAAAAAACTCTTATAGGGGAGGGGGTGGGGAGAGGAGGTGGGGTATTACGTCATCAGTATGTATCCATCAGCTGCAGGTGCCTGTGCAAGGACACAGTCCACCACAGTTTACTAAGTATGTAGAATAAATAAAACAATCACAGTTGTATAAGTATACCTAAATGTGTAGTAGACAAAGTACAATTATCAGTAAAGTTACATTGTACCATAAAAAAAACAAAAAACAAACATCCAGCTGAACTTCAGCTGATACTTGTTTGTCAAATACTAGGTATATCTTATAATTTTATTGTCTGTACTGTATTACGAGGTTGAATGGCAAACTACAACAAAATAAATCCTCAAATTTCTTGATTTATTTTGTTTCTCCTACTGAGTTATGGATAAAAGGATTGACTTTTTTTTTTTATGTTTTATTTACTCAGGGCTGTTGGTTGTATATTTGGAGAGCTGCTGAATAATTCACCATTGTTTCCTGTAAGCATTAAAACATATAAACTGCACCAGTAAATATTCAACTGGTGGATTTTATGGAAATCACTTTGTTTATCAATTAAGTTTGATTGATAAATTTTATTTCATCGCTGTGTTGCAAACTTTACTTATAAAAATTACCCTTAATGGCAATGCATAATGAAGAAACAAGTTTGTGCTTACTACTGATTCAGTGATTGTCTTCTTTTTTTTAGGGAGAAAATGACATAGAACAGCTTTGTCAGGTGTTACGAGTCTTAGGAACTCCAAATGAAAAGATCTGGCCAGTAAGTTCACTTAGACATCAGTTTTAAGTGATGAAATAGAGAGATGATTTTTTTTTAATATTAAGAATTATTTGTAACCTGGATATTGCATTTGCAAAAAGGAGGTAAATTTATATGCATGTATGATATTAATATATTAATCATGATTCTTTTCAGGGCATTTCTGAATTGCCAGACTACAACAAAATCACATTCCCAGAAAACAACCCAATACCATTGGAGGAGATAGTCCCTGATGCATCATGTGAAGCCCTGGACCTCCTCAAAAAGTTCCTTGTTTACCCCACCAAACAAAGAATATCTGCTAAGGAGGCACTACTTCATCCCTATTTCTTCACAGAACCCCTTCCTGCCCATCATTCGGAACTCCCTATCCCCCAGCGCAGCAAGAGGGGGTTACCACGGCGACAACAAACACATGACTATAATATTGACACTCCATTGGAGAAATCTTTGATTGATCCAGAGTTACTGGCCCCTCATATTGTCAAAATCAGATGATGTCTTGTAGTGGTAAAATTGAATGTGATTCTCTAGGGTGGATGATTATAGGGTGGAAGTTATAAAAAGATGGACTGTGATAAACAGACAATTGTTTGTAATCCAAAGCAAAGTCTACAGTTCAGTAACTACTATGGAATAGTGTAAAAAAAAAATTCTAAACGTTAATGTTTCATCATTAGAAAATGGCCAATAATTTCTGTGTGATAATTGTAAATGTACAATTGAAAGGTTCTTGGGGAAAGCTTACATGCACTATGATCAAAAACCAGTATGCGCCCTTTACTTTTAGCAAGTAAGCTTGGTATTTAAACTATATTGTTTTTAATAAAAGCAATTTTATCTGTGGATTGAGGTATCTTAATAATTTAAAAACATAATTCACACAAGAATTATTAATATATCATATCTATTGGTTATTTAAAAAAGATCACAGATCAAAAGTGAAATATTTATGTTTATATTGTAATATTTACATTTCCAATGTCTTTGTCCGAGATAAAATTACAAATTGTAAAAATACTTTATTTCTTCATAAATCTACTGGTTCATCGCGGTTTAAAAAAATCACGTGCGGGGCGGGACAAATAGAGACAGAAGCGGGCTATTAGCACGGGGATTTGCAGAATCAGGAGCATGTAAATATAAGGAATAACTGTCAGATTTTTTGGATTCATGACGATGATCAATCGATTGGCTTGCGTGATAATTTTATGCATAAACGCCTTCGGCGTTTATGCAAATTATCACGCAAGCCACTCGATTGATCACATCATGAATCCAAAAAATTAGACAGTTATTCCTTAATTGAATAATCTTATTGTATAAAATCAATATATTTTATCAGTCTATACAATCAGATGAAGATGAGGCTTTTCCTTCCTGGCATTTTGTGATACGTAAACACTAAATACAAGTGCAAAATAAAAAGTAGTGAAATAAAATTATTAAAATACTTCTGACATGACTGATAGGGGGTTATTTTTGGCCCATGTTATTTTCGCCATTTCAAACAATTTTGCCCTGTTTTAAATTCGCCTAGTCACAATAAAGACAAAGAGATAAAAAAAATGTAATACTATTTAATTTGAATTCGCTTGAATTTGCCCACTTAGAAAGGGGCGAAAATAAAATGGCATATATTTCCCTGTATTTTTTTTTTATCATTAATTAAGTCATATATTAAGCAATCAAAAATACTTCTAGTAAATACAAGTATGCATCTGTTAGAGTTATTACCGGTATATATCTCCATTGTGTTACATGTATGTTTAATCATATGTATGCATGAAATTCAATATGAACTGAATAAAAATAAGATTAATTTAGACATAAATTTACAATGACCCTACATATGTAATTATGTCCTCATGTTTTACATTTATAGGACAGAACTCTTTATCATTCAGTTATATTTAAGAACAGGTTATATTTCTTTCTCATGCCATCTTGACTTAAATAACATACTAGTATATACGCAGCAAACATTTGTTTTGTTTTTTTTTTTTTTTTTTTTGGTTTTGCTTTTTTTTTTATTCTGCTCCATTCACAGTGAAAGGAATATTTTTCCTTCTCTTATATTAATATTTTGAACCTCTTTGTCATAAATTTTTCTAAGGTTAATAAATTCTTGAATTTAGGCCCCACATCAAAATAAAGGTGCTCTTTAATAATGTTCGGGTCCTCCTGCCCATCCATCAACACATTTACTTGATGCCATAACATGACTAAAGTATACCTCCCAACCTGCAGACTTGCTTACTATACATGTACATGGTGGGAAGGGAGGGGGGTAGAGAAAAACTTGACCATAGGTTAGCTTAAATGTTACAACAGTTATATGTACCATCACCATAACACAATGGATTTATGTGATGCAATAACTTGAATATCTTTTATCCTTGAGGCTTATGTGAAGATACCCACACTTTTTGGGATCACTTGGTTAAAGGCCAAGGTCAAAGATTAAGATTATTGGTATGACCATTATGAAACAAAGACTTCCATTAGAGTTTGTTTGTAGTGAATAAGAGGAGAAAGAAATGAATTTATAAAAGTTTAGGTTAGAAGAAGGCATCGCTTGAATAAAGGTCAAGTTTCAAGGACGAAGACTACTGTTAAGGTTATTATTTATTTAAACGGTGCAATACAGCAATTCTAGAATTCTGTAAAATACTAAGAACATTCAGTCGCCCGCGTGGCGCAGTGGTTAGAGCGTTCGCTCTAGAGTCGCGGAGTAAGGAGTTAATCCTTACGTCGCGGGTTCGAATCCCACTGTGGGACTTGGAGACCGGTCCTTCGGATGAGACCGTATAAACCGAGGTCCCGTGTCGCAGAAGATGCTGGTACGAAAAAGATCCCTCACTGCACATTGGCCCTAAGTGCCGAGTATAGGTCAAATTTGCAGCTCTCATCCGGCAAGTGGTGGCGTCTCCATATGAGTGAAAAATTCTCGAGAGGGACGTTAAACAGTAAAACAAACAAACAACATTTACATACGAACTTGAAGTTCTGCAACCAAGATAGAGTATATTGCAACACTAAATGTTTAAATTTAATCTTTGGTAATGCATGTAGGATAAACTTGGTTTACCATTCGTCCACCTTAAACATTGCTATTAATTGAACATTAAAAGCTGTATAGTTAAGAATACATTAAAGGTTCCAGACAATCCATATATATATATATATATTCCAATGCCAGACAGACAAAGACAAATAGTGTTATATCTTGCACTGTCAAGCTGAACTGGGTCATTTATCAAACATCTACATACATAGGTAATTTATTTCATTCAGAATGAAGTTGGCTGTAACTAATGGACATTTTATGCTAATTTACTACTCTTTTATGTGTTATTTACAATCTGCACTAACTGTCAATTGACACTGTGGCAAATCATTCGAATTTGATGTGAAAATAGATCTTGTTTGCGTTTGTTTGTGCAAAAAATGCAGATCTTTAGTTCTTTACATCAAAAGACAATCTGCGCAATATAATCTGCGCATTATTTTTCTTACAGTAACAAATTTTATACATGACATAACATGACATTAGCCAAAAAAAATAAGAACTTAGTTTATTTAAATTTGACGAAAAGAAAATTTATAATTTGAGAATATACATGTACATTTCAAACGTAACTTGATACTAAATCTGTTTGTATTCATTTAATTCCTTAATAAAAGCATTCAGAAATATTGACCTGTTACATATCAATTAAATGTTCCTCAATCAGAAACTGTTGTGAAATGTTTTTTTCAAAATATTTTAAAAATAAAATAATTATAGTTTGAAATAATTTTTTTTTACCAAATGAAAATACTTTCTACTTTCTTCTTTTATATGCAGTTTTCATGAATGACTTGATTACCTTTTCTTTGAATACTTCCGGTTGATTGCTAATGCTTTTGAAAAAAAAAGAAAGCCTAAATAGCAATATTGCAGATGATTGCAAAACTAGGACTATTTTTGAAACACAGAGTATTCCACTATCTACTATTGTTTCACATCGGACAAAATATTGTGAAATAGAAAGGAATTCGGCAAAGGAAAAGAGCTGGTAGGGCTAGGAATGAAAACCTTTTTTCTACACTTAGTGTTGATTTTACAGAACCAATAGCCAAGCTTTCTTTGGAGTGTGAATGTTAGTTTAATAGATCTACAAACTCTTTTCCTTAACTGAATTCCTCTTCTTTTTTTCATATTTTGTACCACACAATACAAAGTAGATTGGAAATACTCCGTGTTTCAAAAATATCACCATATTTGACAATCCCTTACTAATAGGTTATAGCTTAAATTGGCTTTTTATTTTCGATATAGCAGTAATTTTGAACACCAGCAGACAACAGGGAGTACATGGTATACTATCATGGAAAACTGCTTGTATCATTAGAAAGTAGGGGATATTGTCATTAAATAAAATAGTATTTGTCAGATCATATTGTATGTTATTAATCCAGCATTTTAGATAATAATTTCTGGGAACACTATATAACATTCTCAGAGAAAGGAGTATCTTCTTTATAATTATGTAAATCTTAGTTCTCACTTTAAACTGTCTATGACTCAAAACTACTATGAAATCACTATTTTTCACGGGGGGGGGGGGGGGTAATTTTCGTTGTTTTTTTTAGGTATGAAGAGTTTCACGAATTCATGTCCAACACGAAATATAAAATGTCACATACATAACTACTCAACAATTCTTCATCCAGAAAATTAAATCCCCACTAACCCATATTTTTTCCTCAAACCAAGAAAAACTGACCCCATTAAAATATGTGATTTTACATGTTTATGACTTCAAATTAAATATAACCGTTAACGAACCCTTAAATAAATGGAGCTATAGCAAAAACGTATGAAACTTTAAAACAACTTTGAACAAAAGTATACGACTTTATATTTGAAACGAAATCTAAACACGAATGAAAAAAAATTGAATTAAATCAAATAAACATGTGAATTAATCTGTTCTAGTGTTTTTTTTTTTTTGTGATTTCCCATTTAAAAAACGTTTCCTCTTCAATACTGAAGGTTCGGTTTTGTTAAATGTTGATGCATTTGTTAATATTTTTTTACTAAAAGTTATACACTTAAACATTAAGTATGACCCCAAGCAATCATTATTTCTCTAGACCATGATTTAAAACTGTCATACATTAAAACATTTTCTGAAGAAAACAAACTTTAACATAAAAACTCGCTTTAGATAGACCAGTTAATTTCACTTTTTCCTTGTATCCTCAGTCTTCATTTCTAGATCTGAATCAAAAGACTAAGTTTAATATAAGCATAAACATGTCATGAAAAACCTACTCTTTTACTCCTTGTGTAAACTCTAGCACTGCATTCCTTGCAAAATCTTTACATTAAAAATGAAATATTGAATTTCAAATTACTTTTGTCGTCAGTAAGAGTGAAAACTTGATCGTTTAATATTCCTTTTCTTTTTCTGTGTTTTTCATCATCTAAACAAAAAATTTAAATTAACTTTGGAGCAGGCCAAAATTGTTTTGTAAAATAGTAGCATCCAGAGTCATGTATCATTCGTTGTACAACCCGTTTTGAAATGCATTTTTAAAAAATGCATGGAAAAAAAACCCAACTTGATAGATCACTTATAAAAATATACATTATACTTGCAATTGGTAGTTCATGTAGTAATTCCAGGAAACCTTGTATGTACAATTTAATAAGAAAATACAATGAAATTTCCTCTCAGGAAAATAAAATGAAAAGAATTAAGAAATTGTGAAGAATGAAAAGACAAGGTCATGGAAATATTAGTACATGTAATTTACATAAAACTTGTGTATAATTTATGGTAATCTTTGAGAGAGTTGTATTATACAGTATTAGATACCAATACATGTATTACAAGGTATAGCTATATAAATCAACATTTGAATTCAACATAGAGGGAAAAATTGTATATTATTTGGGATCTTTACAAAACATTGTCCAAATACATTCAAACTCTTTGCTTCTCTTCGTGCAATCTTTTCACACGAATTATCGCTTACAGAGTAAACCAGATCGAAATCCGGTGACTGATTACTGGCATTTATACCCCCTGTCACATAAATCTTTTTCTCTCGTAAATACATTCCAAACTTGGACCGATTGTTTGGTAGTTCTTTCTGTATGATGCTTTCGTTCTTTTCCACGCGGAACTTTATGCAGTGTCCTTGTTCTGTCAGAATATAAATAGAATGACCAATAACAACGGTCCTTCCGCCGGAACATTCTATAGGCAGGTACCCTACAACCTCCACAGACTTGCTCATCAAGTCAAAGACCTGAATAACCGATACATCTTCTCCATGCTCATCCTTGCCACCAAATAAGTAAATCTTTTCATTATAGACAATGGACAAAGGAGAGCTAACTCCCCATTTCAGATTCCCTACTAATGACCAAGAATTCTTCTTACGATCAAACTCTTCAATTTGAGGAACAATGGAATCTTTAGTTTTGCCACCCAAAACATAGACTTTGTCTTTCACACTTCTCATAGTATGATTTGTTCGAGGATATTTCATGTTTGCGCAAACTCTCCATTTATTCATGATGACATCGCATTCTAGAAATTTGAGAGACTTTTGTCCTTCACCTGAAATAAAGATATATGGTGGTTCAGTAGCAGCCGTCTGGATACAACAAGCTGCATATCCTTTGGTGAAATCTGTGACATCCTTTAATTTCACATCATATCCCTTTTCACTTGTAATATTGAGCACTTTTGCATCCTTGAAACATTGGTCGTCTGCTTTTGTTATTGAAAACATCACCAGATACGTTTTACTATCACAGCTTTCCGAAGACTCACCCTCACCTTCAAAAACTTTTCCAGCAATTTTTTCACGTAGGGATCTATAAACCTCACCTCGGTTGCTGGAATCGCATTGCCACCATTGATACAAACCGTCCCTGAGCAGTAGTTTTTCTCTACAACACCGACTTCTCATTAAAGCCTTCATTTGTGAATTTCTGAGTGACAAAAATTCACTCATGCTTATGACGTCATCAATATTATTAACAATCTCATCCGCACATTTCTCAATGACCTCTGGTATCTCAAAACTATCTGCCAAATCAAAAATTTCAAACACCTTTTCCTTGTCTAAGTTTTGTAAAAGCTTACTGGCACAAGCACATTTTAAATTAGAAAGCCCTTTTATCGAATTGCAGATCGTAAGAAATTCTTGTATGTGTTCGTATCGAAGCAACTCTTCATTGATATTTCCTGTGCAGAAGTATTCTTGCAACAAATGTCTGCTGTCCAAGCTGAATGAACGACAAAGGTTCACAGCATGAGTACAGGTGGCAGAGGATTCATTGTTACATTCGGCTGAAAGCATCTCGTCTAATTCCCTTAATTCTTCAAATTCTGTACTTACACACGTCTCTTCCTTCAGTTCAGTCATATCTGTTGATAAAGGCGATTACCAGATGAAAGGAAATTCTCAAGAAATAATTAATGATTTAAGCAGAATTATATCGATTATTATCTTATACCACCTCAATAAATGACCATTTCCATTTTATAGTAAAGTTTCATAAAAAAATATTATTTTCCTTAATATCATGAATATCCATTTATGTCGATCTTTTAAAAATTAGACACATTTAATATAATCAAAAAGTTTAATCGTACAAAGCAAATTATAAGATATGATACAATTTCCTTTTCAAATATCTTTTTTTAAAAGTAGAATGTCCACTTTTATCCTGTGAAAATTTACTCCTTATGTTTAAAATTAAATAATAATTTCACGTATCGTGGAAGTAAACAAAATAGAGAAAAATTTACCTCTTACCTTGCTCCTCTGCAATGTTGTTGTGAAACGAGCATAAAAAAGTTAATGTTTATATAAACACCTTAAAAATACATCACAGAAGGAATTTTCTCTTTTTGATCACATGGTAGGAGTATTATGCGCTTCATATACTAAACCCACTCCCTTCTTTTAGCACAAGGAAACACTTGACAATGAGGTCACTCTGTCTTTAACTGACATGCACAGGTAAGAACAGGTAAATATGAGATTGTGCATTAATAACCTCTTCCAACTGAATACGTAATGACTATTTTAGGGCAAAAAGGAGCCAAAGATGAAAATGATTGTCACTGAATAGGTATCTTGAAAAGAGATAAAAAATAAAAGGAAAAGAAATAGCCCAAACACCACTTTTCAATTTTCCCCTTTTTTGACATAGATTGTAGAGTTTGATTTAAAATGCAGTACCAAATGCCTATTTTGACAGTTTGAGAAGATGTTGTTTATCAAACACACTTTAATTCATATCTATCCATAACATTTTGTCCTTGACTTTTCCTGAAGCTATAAAATATTAAGGTGCGTTTTGCTTTTATGAATAATTGCCTTTAAGCACTCAAAATCATTTCAAAAAATAAACGCCTAAACATAAATGAGTATTCTAATTCATATGATAGTGATGACAAGGCTTTATTTACTCACCAATTATTTATGTTTGGTAACCCAATTGTAGTTCTTAATTTCTATGTTTGTTTGATATAAGGATGACATTGTTATGCTGAAATTATCTTTTTACGAAAACATCAAACGGATTTCAAATCGAAATGTCTGCAAAATTCCTGTAGACAATATAGTAGGTCACTCGTCATATAATGTTAACATGGCTCAGGGCAATTAAAAATATAAGTGCTCTTTTTCAATTGAATTACTAGTAGGAAACATTGTTTCTTCATGTTTATTACCTTAGTGAATCTAGTTAGAAAACAAAGAGAACGAAATGACCTAATAAACTTGAAGGTTCGAAAAAGGTGACCAATTAAAACTTTGTTATCGGAATTACTTGTAGAGTAAAATTCACAGAGTTTTGAAATATCCGTAATTTTGAAATTTTTTTGTTATCGTACCTGTTTTAATTTTTTTTTTTTTTTTTTTTTTTTTTTTTTTTTGCAAACGGAGGCCATTTTAAGAAAATAGTATCAAGATAATTGCTGAAGTAAGTACTCTTGAAATTTTTTTCATTTTTTTGGAAAAGTTAATATATAGTTTAAGTAATAAAATGATACACATATCTCTGTCTTTTGTGCAAGTTAAAGGCTCATGCAATCTTATACTTTTAAATTATATGTTAAAAAATTTTTAAGAAATTTTCTTTTAAAAAAGAATTGGTGCCTGGTAAGGCATAAAAATGGATTTCTTTTTAGAACAGGAATCCATTCTAATGTTTATAAATTAGCTACTATCGAAGTTCATCCGCTTTCAACATGGTTCTTAAGATAAAAGAATATATGTCTGTGACCTCTTTATGCCAGATCTAAATTTCTTTTGACCTAAATAGAATGAAAATTAAGAAAGGAATGTTTTAAATGTTAAGGCTGATGTAAAATATAATACTCATACAATAAAGAATGACAAGCCCACAAAAAAACTATAAATTATTCTCAAGATAATGGAAACTATTACTTACGACAATTCATTATGATAGAGTGTTCTATCTACAGATGTATGTAAGCCTTATAAATAATCATCTTTTATGAGTAAAGTGGGAGTGGGTTATTAGGGAAATCCTTTAAAATGTTTCAATTTACCCTTAAGTGATACTATTTTATGAGTCGAACATTTGTCAACCATACTGAATATTTAAAAAGTTGTTACATCTAATTTATCGAATGAATAAAACGAAGCTTTGAAAAAAATGTCACGAGATAATGTTTCTTTTTTTGTACTACTTGCATTCTTTGTTAAGGTACATGTTTAACTAAAAACTAGGTGTCAATTTATTTAAAGTGTTCTTAAATCAAGTATAGAAAATTCATTTTATTGTGATATTAAGCGCAACATGATCGATAATGGTGGAAGATGGAAATGTTGTAATTTAGTAATTTATAAGACTTAAAGTACGTTTTCTTCCACAGATGTTGTTTATTTGAATTAATTAAAACAATACTAAAATATATCTTTAAGAAATATTTGTAATTCTATAAGAAGTGAATTATTCCGAGTTCATTTGAACTGTTGGAAGGGACATACGAGTAGTAATACTTCATCTTAAATAGAAACAGGTTACAGTGTCTGATCTCCTGATTAGAACTCAGCACATAAACATCTATACATTTTGTGCAATAATCTGTTAAAGTAATAAAACTTTAAGAGAAAGTAAGGTTCATTTAATGGGTATTTTTTCGAAAACAAATTTGAAATATGAAATACAAGTAAAATATTTTGCTTTAATTTATCAATGCATGTACTTGTCTTTAATGTCTTGTCGCCCGCGTGGCGCAGTGGTTAGAGCGTCTGCTCTAGAGTCGCGAAGTAAGGAGTTGATCCTTACGTCGCGGGTTCCAATCCCACTGTGGGACGTGGAGCCCGGTCCTTCGGATGAGACCGTATAAACCGAGGTCCCGTGTCGCAGTAGGTGCCGGCACGAAAAAGACCCCTCACTGCTCAATGGCCGTAAGTGCCGAGCATAGGACAAAATTTGCAGCTCTCCACCGGCAAGTGGTGGCGTCTCCATATGAGTGAAAAATTCTCGAGAGGAACGTTAAACAACATACAATCAATCTTTAATGTCTTAAACTTCGGTTCATATAGATAATTTTTCTTCGCTCAGAATCATCACATAAAGGCAAGGAAACAATTTCAAGACAAAGTAGAAAGTTGAAGAAGGCAGTTAATCTTGAGAGATTAGGGTGTTTGATTGTCACAAAGCATGCAGACCAGGAATGGAGTCTAGATATAGTACTTTTCTGTCGCTTTGTAAATAAAAAATCAAATAAATGTAAAAGGTGAGGACAAAGAACAGTAGTGATCAATTTCATTATCCAGTAAGTAAACAGGGCAAACGCACAGGCCATTGGAAACCACAGAGGATAAGGTGTCTTAGTAGGAGTAAGAAATGGTCAAACTCGCCGAGCGCCCTCCGTATTGATAAGATAAAACGATTGATCAATAGTTAAGAATTAGATAGAAGTAATCATTTTAAAGTCTTTCAATTGGTGGGAAACATGTTAGTCAAAATACGACCTAATGATAATTTGCACTGTGTTCACAAACAAGGTCATAACGACCATGGAATTTGTATAACGACCATAGAATTTGCAAAATGCCGATTTTAACTGAGATAATTGAAAACCCTTTAACATCAATTTTTTGACTGCTCTTTTTTGGCAGTAGCCTGCCTTGGTTTTGAAAAATTGATCTTAATCACAATATGTTTCTGAGTATCGAATCAGTTGGGAGACATGAACACCTTAATGTCTGTAATATATTGTTACATAAATAAGTTGGCGATGGAAAAGTCATCCCATTTGTCATAAAGTTTAATTGTATCCTATAGTTGGCTATTATAGACAATAGTCAGTAAACATCCAAGCAAGAAGTAGATGTGGCAGACTTGGCGTCTTTCATTTTGAGTTCTTATATGAATGAAAATAACTATTGTTAATTGATGAAACGTCTTTGATCTATCAAAAAGTAGAATTGGAGTTTTTGAATAAATTCTGTCTCAAAAGAATATGAAAAAGGTCAGCTAATAAAGGAGCACAATTAGTGACCATCGATAATTAAGCAGATTGATCTACATAGACTACATCTATTATGTATTGTCAGTGAGAAACTCTGAAGCAGAAGCATTTTTTGATATCAACTACCAAGTTCTTGTGTGTAGAATCAGAATGATTTTAAACACAATAATTTTGTAGAAGATATTATACAGTTATGGACTTCAGTGTAGGTCGATATGTGGTTATAAGGACTCATGGCAAGTGATATGGACCGAAGACACAGAGTGATAGCGACCGAGTCTGCAAGGTCGCTATCATTTTCTGTGTCTGAGGTCCATATCACTTGCCATGAGTCCTTATAACCACATATTGGCCGTTCACTAAAGTCCATAATAGTTATATTATATAATCACTCGAAGTGAATGATCTCACACTCCTAACTAAACTGACTCGGTTATCATTACGTCACAATGGTAAAAACATGCTTCTTATATTATGACGTCACGTTCTACGTAACTTTGGTGCAACCGAACAGTGTGTCGTGCGATATTATATTCCGCGGACGCGCTTTCGCGTCGATATCGCAAAAGGAGGAATATCACATGACGTCCTTTCAGCCGATGAAAACTAAGAAAATAATCTTCTTATATAATATAAAACATGAGTTCTCTTTTTAAGACGATGCAAGACGGGTGTCTATGATGTTAAAAGCCTGCTATTTAATTCATCGTGAGGAATGTTGTATATAAAAAGTTTTCTCTGCTACTGATTTTCGAAAAGTTTTGAGATCTTGATTTTTGAAAAAGTTCTTCGGAGATTATGAAAATTCATATTTATTAACTACACTTCTTAAATATATTGTAGCACAGTACATCTAAGTTTCTACTTCACAGCCGTTAATATTTTGTTGAGGAGTAGGGACAAAGCTCCGTTGAACATTTATTAATTTTTACTCTAGATTTGTTTGATAATTTGATAAAGTATATCAAATGCTCTGCTTTACTTCGATAAGTACTTTCCAAAATGTACTATAACAATTGTTGGGTCATTCTTAAATATGTTAGGAATTATAATAAAGGGTACAAGAAATAGCGTGAGTATGAAACAAAATTTCATTACAAATGATGAAAAAGAAAGAAAAAAAAGGAAAGACAGAATAAAATATATATATATTTTTTATTTTTTACATAAATATCTCAATATATGTTAGGAAGATTGTGAGAGATTGAATATTTTGTATCTAAGAGATTTATATTCCTTAATTTTTTTTTGAATCTGTTGTTTATTTCTAAAATAAAGTAAAGTGAATAGAATTAAATTAATTATAATACTGATTACTACAAAAAAGAAACAATAGTTTAAACTTAAATTACACACATGTATATAAATTAAGTGAATTTAAAAGTAGCTGTTTGATATAAATTATTTCTTTATGGCTAAATTTGTTGAAATTCATTTTTATTAGCATGGTGCAATAGTAATCTAGAAAATAACTGCAATTTGTATGGAAGTATACAAAAGTCATATTCAACCCTGCTTAAAGTGTTCTTTCAGATTTTGAATTAAGCAAAAACGTTCGAATTAAATCATTCTTTGGAGGGACCTATCTTAAAAAGATGTAGATTTCAAATCTGGTTTTATTTTTTTTGCGTTATTTTGAACGTAAACTTGAGAATATTTGTAACAACATGCCACACAATAGAAAAATGCCCCTCACTTAAGTTCTTATCAAGTCATGTTTTATAAAAGTAGCCATATATGCGTTACGAAAAAAGACAAATAGTTTGTGACCCCGAACAAGTCCTTTTTAAGTTTCAGGTGAAATTAGTGACAATTAAGAACATTATTTGAATATTTAAAATGTATAAGCTGATGAACTATTATTCAAACACCAAAAAAAAAAAAAATGTCAAGAGAGTACTACTTTTCTTATGATAAAGGAAAGTACATTGTATCACATAACACAAATCTATTTGTTAGAATGTTTAAAAGCTATATTTAAGATTTATAAATAATCATATTTTATGAGTAATTAGTAGGTTATGTGAGGAAAATCCTGAAAAAAAATATTCTCAGCTTATGCTTTAGTGCATTTTCATGTTTTATGTTTTCAGCCACACCCATTACTTAGAAAAGTTCATACTTTTAATTATCAAAAGAAACGAACTAACTTTTGCAAGGAAATTTCTAGGTACATTATAGAAAATATACAGTGTACTTTGTGAACATGTTACTTAGCGCGAAGAAGAAGTATTCATTTTGGTAAAAGTCTTTTAATATATGCAGCAAATTTCTGAAACATCCAATTTTTTTATTATAGTATTTAAAGGGAACAGTGATCAATGATGAAGGATGGGAATGCTGTAAATTATCTTTAAGTCTGTTATCTTCAACATTTGCTGTTTGTTTCAATTAATCATAACATTTCTTCTGTCACATCATGATTTATTTGAAAATCAATGGAGGAAAATAAATTATTACGAATTCATTATAAAAAATGTTAGAAGGGACATAGAAGCAGTAATTCATCTTGCCTCATCTTCAACTGATAGGTTACAGTGTCTAAATAAGATATTGCATTTTCATTCAGTAACATTATTATCTTTCCTAAAGTGGCTCTCAAGTACATTTTTCAATGTTGCAAAATTTAATAAAACAAACACAATTGCTTGAACTCCTCACATTTACATCAATACTTTAATTTATACAATATTATGTAAAAAGAAAAATTTTAACAGGTAAGGTTTCTTTTGATAGCATTTCTTCAAAATCCAGTCTGAAACAATAAACAAGTGATCTTCGCTACAAATCATTCACACATGTACTATTCTTTCAGTTCGTTTCGAATCAATTAATATATATTTGTTTAAAATAAACACACAAAGGCAAGGAAGCATTTTCTAAACAAATTTATTACATAAATTTTAAATCAAAGCAGTTGCCGTCTTAGGAAAATATAGAGTTTGATTGTCACATAGCTTTCAGGCCTGGATTGCAATTTTCTTAGTTTTACTAAAACTCTAATTATATTAAATTGGAATAAATGAATTTTTTTTATGCATGGTAGTTTGTCACATACTCTACTTAAACGATAAGCAGTAATTTTATCTTACTTTGCAATACAATTGTTAAGTAATTAAAAACTTTCTGAAGATTAAATAAACTATATCAGAAAAAAAAACCCAGCAGGAAATTAAAAAAACAAAAACACATGTACAATGTATATCATATATGATGATTAAAAAAAAAAAAAACGAAAAAAAGACATCCAAAGAAACATTTAATATATAATATAATGATATTTAACATTCATATAATTTGGTTTAATTTTCGTAAAACTGCATAGAAATTATGCATGGATCATACATTTTCAGTTAAATAGTTTTAAAAAGTCCATAGATATTAATTTGTACATTTATTATCAAATATGTATCTGGTAAAAGTATTATAGTGAACAAATTAGAATTATTGTGGTAATACTGATATCATAAATCATTGAATGGCTTAATGTAAAACATTTTTTTGCAAGATGCGACGAATCACAAAAAAATCCTACAAATTCAAGACAAGTAAATTATATCACAGACAAAGATATACATGCAATGTACTCTTCGAAGTAAACTTGCTTTCTTAATATAAAGTTAAATGCACTACATATCTGATAGCTTCACTCCTCTTCATGTAAACTGATACTCAAAAGAGCTGGCAGTCTAATAACATGAAAGAAAAATATATCGAAAATATCACGAAAAACATAGTCGAAAAACGTACAGAATTACGAAAATTGTCCGTAGTAGCACAACAATAATATAAAAACGTACAACAGTAAGACAAACACAAGAGTTACGTATTGACCTTCACCAAATACGAGTTCATTTATTCTTTAAAGACCATGTAAAAGGCATATAAGGTGCAAACCCTTACTGACAACAAAAGCAGACGAAAAATTCTGCTATGGTATAATTTTCATCAAATAAATTTTAATATTGATTTATAAAAAAAATGGTCGTTTGATAAAATATATTAATTCAAAATTAAATATTTTTTTGTGTATTTTTCAATAACTGAGTTTCTTAATTTAATTTGACCAACGATAGTCTAATTATATTTGCTGTGAGGATAAGAAAAACAATATTAAAACATACAAAACATGCAAAGCGGTTCCAGCATTACAAAGCATGGAAACTCCAACAAAACTCCATAACAAAATATCGTGGAAGTCAAAAAACATATTAGTTTCACATACTAACTAATAATACAATACATTACGTCCCGCTTTGATTGGCCTGGGCGTAATTTTCTACGGGATACATTTTACGTGGCATATAAACGTTTTTGGGGGCATGATGTTGGTAGGTTCTCTCTTCTGCGCCCGTTGGATTTAATGGACCAACCTGTGCAATTAAAACATTAAAGTAAAAAATGTAGTCAATAATATGCATTATGTCTAAGCAAATATTCACAAACAGTAGAAAAGCAGTATCATCGCTCAAAAGAAACTTTAAGAAATGTGTTTGAAAAATACATATAAAGAAATGAATCAATTATAATTGTATCTCTTTAGTAAATGTGAATAGAATAAAATATATTTAACAAATGAGTAATTCAAGTACCTTCATGCATATTTATGCATTATAAAAATTGTCATGTTTAAACTTCAGTAACTCTAAAAAAAGTAATCTTGAAATAATGCTGAAATAATCATGCCGTTAGATAGGTGATTTCATGCTCAGTGAGACAATACCAATTCTAAACTTCTAATATGGACTTTCATCAAAGGGCAGTAACATGTCGATATTAAAAGAATATATAGGAATCCATGGAAAAGAAATAACTCTAGGTCTAGGTTAACATTAGATTATGTAGACATAAACTGATAGTGTTATATTGTTGTTTGTAAATAGAAAATAACACTTGCCATTGAAATTTCTTTAAGAATAGCTTTTAATCACGTTGTTTTTCAAGTGGCTCCAGGAAAACATAGAAATGCTAAGTTTTATCCTGCTATTTTAAAGAGAGTACATTTCAAAAGATTTCTATTTCTCAAACATTTTTTTCATTATTTTGCTTTATTTATAAAATATTTTGTCAGAAAATGGAACTATGTGATTTGGTGATAATTGTGAGATGTTAACAATGTACTACACGTATCTAAAGGAAAACATGTTTTACGATTATATATTAAACAAATACACCAAAGGCACTCTTTTAATGGTATTAGAGATCACAACACAACATCGAAAACACATTCTTTAATGTGATTGGTCAGTGCAGATCACCTGACTAGGATGAAAATTTTTCAAATGATAGGAAGTAGTTTGGACTTTTCCCTTTTTGGAGGTTTAGGGACTTTGACATACTCGGTCAACATAGGATAATCCCGAGTATTTTTTGATGAAGCCACGCTCATATCCATGACTGAACGTTGACGGGGAGTTTTGTAAACAGAGGTCCAATCTGCGCTTGATTTGCCATCCTTCATGGTAGCTGTTCTAGAAGGCAAGTATTGACTAGAGCCGTAATGGCTCTTGGGGGTGCGAGTCCTTGCATTTACCACCTGACGAAAATGAGTCATACATATATCTTACTTTAATAATCTTTGTAAAATACTTATAACTTCCGTCTGTGCATTTTTATTGGAAGGTTTAAAAAAAACTGTACTCTGAAGAAATTTACAAAATGAAAATGATTAATTTTTAAGAGAGTTTCATAAAACAGTTTATTCAAATTTGTGAAAAACTTTATCAAATAAGAATAAAATAAACATTCAAATTCAGTCAGATTAATTCCAAAACGTATGTATATGTTAATTGAGAAGGTGTAGCATTTGTAATTTTGAGAGTTATTAAATTGTGTCAATATTAATAGTGATAAAACAGAGTGAATAGCTGTGATTTTAAAGAATTTCCATCTTCCGAGAAAATACTTTTTACGAGGTCAGACTTCATCTATACATTTTACAATGCAGAGGCATGAACCTATACTTATAAATGGATGTGTTCTAGGCTTTTTTTTCCTGCTTTTTCGTTCTAATACATGTTCTAGCTAATGAATTCACTAACATTCTTAAACAATAACTGTATGCTGATGAAATTAGCATTACAAACAAAAATATAACAGAAAGAAACTTAAAAAACCCCAACAAAAACAAATGATGAAAACATAACACAAATATTAATATTTTTCACAACAGAAAACGGACATGCTTGTCTACATTTCCTTTCTTTAATGGAAACACCACCTACCGCTGGAAGTGTTACATTCTGTAATATTGGGAAATGGGGGCAACCTGCAAGCAATTCAAACTACATGTATGGAACAAAGGTAGATACAAAATAAATATTTCTAGAACTGAAGTTCTCCTGTAGTATTTTACTTTATTTCTTACTTGAAATATTCTGAAAAAAGAAACTCTAGTAATTCCACGCATTCATGAAAAGCTATGTATTACTTTTTATTTTCAAAAGCAAAATTACTTTTGTGGTAATTTTTTCAATGCCAATAGTACATATAAATTCTTAAAGATTTGTCCATTTAACAAAATTTCAAATTTTAAAATGTAATTGATCATTTTATGTGAAGATTAACCGTTACAAGAACTCGTAAAACATGGTCATCCACATGAGTCAAATCAAGCTTTATTATGCAAAATATTTTGGGTTATATTTCTATCTAGTAAAAGCATATTGTCAGATTCAAACGCAGCAAAAACGCATTCTGTGGTCTATTCATAGCATTATCTCAAGCAAATATCGCAATGCATGTCGCAATGCCAAATTCGAAGTGGTCAATCATTCACATGCTTGTCAAAAAGAGTGCTTATAGAACCAACTCGATATCAGAGTCCCTTCGCAACTCCAAGTCAAGATCACTCAGATCACTCGACGATGAGTCGACAGGTGTTGACAACTCAGCGGACACCTCCGTTATAGGTGTCATTGGAACGACGGTGTAAATGGGGGGCAATCGCCCAAATCTCTGGTCAGCCTCCTCTTTCTGAGTTTTTACCTGCATCAGCATGGCAATGCATAGTACCTTTATTACATTTTGCTACACACATCTGTTAGCTTTGACAATCATGGTTAATGAGTTAAAAGAAAATTTAGGATGTTAAAATCTGCAGAGGAGGAAATATATCGTTAATCATAAATTCTGTTGCACACCATCTTTAATCCAAAAAGCCAACATATTCTGTTAATGTCAATCAATTTTTTTCCCATCCAAACAGTTATTGAAGAAAAACATCTTTATTAGGGTGTTTGATAATAAACACATGTGTCACTGCAAACCAAAGAATAAGAGAGTATATATGAGAGAATAACCACATACCTGACTCCATTTGTATTCCTCATCAAACTGGGCCAATTGTTTCTTTAACATTATCCAATCTGAAGCCTGCCTTGTCAAACTACGGGCTAGCAAATTATGCTAAAAAATACAGACAATTTCTTTCAATGTATATTAAATTATTTTTCAAGGCAACTGTCGGAGAATCATTATGAATACCATCTCCATCTAGTCATTACTTTCACCATTTTTTTTGTTTGGTCCAGAATTAAGAAAAATAACATACATGTATGTCGTAATTTAAGGCTTCGAAAATAATGCCTTATGACTAGATTGACGAAAATCTTTCGTTAGAGATAACGGCATATGATAATTTATGCGTTATCAAGTCAACAGTATATATTATTTTTACTGGTAATTCAATAAATCTGATTGGTTTGCTTGCTATCACGTACAAAATTATATTTCACGATATTGACTTGAATTACTAAAAATAACTTCGGGAAAACCAAAGATGTGTTTATAATTGTGAAAAGTATTTAAAACTTATAAATTCCTATATACTGATTTGTTTTTCTCTTTCTTTTCCAAAGAAAATAATATAACAAATGTAGACCTTTGATTCGGTCAATCCATAGGTATATAGACTTCACAGAAAAACATATCGACACTTCGTGCTCAGACGTAATGCTTTTCTGTGAAGTTGATATATCTATGGATCAACCTCATAAAAGGGCTATATTTGTATATTACTGCTATCAAGTATGTTGATGAATATTCAAGACCCTAGAAATATCGGCATTTGATAATTTCTGTATTATCAAGTCAATGAAATTTACTGCTATCTTGCATGTATTATAAAAAAATCAAAAGCAGCATAGTATTAACAATAACTTTATATCTTAAGTCTGTGCATGGTGAACACCTCAAACTACATTTTCTCACATATATGTAACGAGAGATCCTGTGATTTTTAAATCGTGCCTTTCAAATATATAAATACACAGTCACAAAGTGCAAAAAAAAATATAAATTCTCAAAAGGATACGTGTGATAAGGATGCAAAGAATTTTACTTGAATTAATGCATTCATAAGCAAAAGATAATACACAAAATAATAGTAAGTCAATAAAAGAAAAAAAAATTAACATCTAAGTGAAAAATAGTGCAAAACACGAGATCTAATTTTTGACAATCACATGGGATATGTCACTTTGCAGAAAAAAAATCAAAATTTGTGCAGGAAACTGACACTCCAATCAGCGACCTACTTGTGACTTCTCACGAGATAGATCCCTAGAAAGGGTTCTATTTCTCATATTAGAGTTGTCCAGACGATGCTAAAAAGATAGAAAAAATTTCTACGTCAATAGACACTAATGAACTATGTAAATTAAAAACATACTTGTGACCGTTCTTTGGCTAGTTGGCTCTGCATCTTGGCATTTTCTGCATACAATGTTTGAATTCTTTTCTGAAAAAGCGGCAATTGATTTTTCAAGATATATATAAGAATCTTTCAGCTTTTTCTTTTATTTTCTTAAAGATTTTATGAATAAAATGAGCAGCTGCTAGGGCAATGTCTATTAAAATCAGTCTTAAAAGTAATAGTGTATAATTTTCACAGTAGTAATCTGCTAATCAGTGTTGTTACAATTTTAAATCTTGAAATCTATATAATTCATTAAGTGTATAAAAAGTACGTAATCTATTTAAGTCACTGAATTTAATTATTTAATGATACCATTAAAATTATATTTGAAAAAAGAAAACAGACATGGTTATTTCTAAATTAAAAAAAACATGATATACATACAATAATTTCGTCTTTGTCTGACATTGCATGTTTGGTTTTCTTTATCAATGTTGCATTGTCTTGCTTGAGTCTCTGAATTTCTCTCTTTAGGTTACTGTTCTCTTCCAGAAGAACCTTAAAATACAAACATATCCCCTCCTCATCAGATCATTCTGTATAATTATATAACCTTGAATTTGCCCTATGAATCTCACTATCAAGTTGCACATTGGCTTAGTTCTAGAAAACCAATCCACATAAAACCGTTCATATCGATTGAAAGGAAAACAGAGAATAAGGAAAGAAAACTCACCTCATTCTTTCTTATAATATCATTGACCCGTACGTTTCCTCCTAACAATGAGTATGAAGATGGGGGCGGAACTCTGGGGGATTCTCCATCGTCTCCTACAGACACTGGTGTCACGTGACCACTTCCTCCTCCCATTTTCCTTTTCTCCAGTTCCAAAAGCTGCTGATATTTCTTAGTTAGCTGCTGGGATTTATGAAGTTCACGCTGCATTTCCTTCAACTTTTCGTCAGCTATTTATTGTATAATTATTTTAAAATTATCATCTACAAGTTTAAAATATAAGAAATTCGAATGTTTTAAATATACTTCATATTGATTGATGGTGTTAATCATAAAGTAAACATAGCTTCATAAGTCAGCATAAAAGCATGAAGCCTTTTTCATCTTTTTGAATTTTCATCTTGTTTAACTATTAGCTTTGTAATAAACAAATTCTCTACGTATAAATAAATACCTACCAGCTTTGGCTTTCTTCTCAAACATCTTCATGAGACGTAACGTGTTTGTTCTAGACATGGTTGATTCATCATGAAGCTTTCTATTTTGTTGGTTTAACATCTTTGACTCGTTCATTTTTTCATGAAGCGTTAATTCTGTCTTGAGCTTCTGGTTTTGCATTTCAATATTGCGCATGAGCTGTGCCTTCAATTCATATGTCAGCTCTTGTTCATCGGGGCTTAATTGTTGTTTACTAGAACACAGAAAGGTAAGAATTAACAATATCAATAAAATTTAAACTAAATTTATTGAAATTATTAATTTTAAATATTATAGATTAAAATATGTCCAAACAATTAAAATTTTCACTTGATTATATTTCTAATTAATAATTTGACATGAAATTGACTTGACCGCATGATGATTAAGATGTATCTATAAGAATCGGATATCGCATTGAAACATAGCCTAAACATAAACAACTTAATACAATTCTAGAATAATTAGTGCAAGTGACCTTTGACCTACTGACCTTGAAGGGGAACCTCCTCCTGACTTTCCGGAACCTTGCGGTTCTGATCTTTCCTCTTTCTTTCCTAGTTTCTTTCCAAGGTCATCCTGTACCTCTTTAAGCTGAGCAAGTGCCTTTGTTAAAACATTTTTGTTTAGTAAAATAATTTTCAATTACTTTTTTCTTCCGTTAGTTGAGACGTATTTATTAACTACGATCATGTAGAAATATATATCTGTTATAATGCTGACAGACGTTGTACCTGTTGATATAGTTGCTCGGTTTCCCTAAGCTGTTCATACAGCGTTTCCATGATAGGTTTAGCATCCTTGTCCTTCTTTCCTTCTAGCTTTTTAAGATTTTCTTGAATGTCCACTTGTTTCTTTTTGAAAGTGTCCAAGGTCTGTTGAACTTTCTATGAAAAACAGAAAAATATACTTTTAAAGATCAAGAGCATTCAAAACATAATTTAAAAAATGAAGACGGCATTCTTCAATCTAAACCATAAAACAATCAATGTAGAAACTTTAAAACAACACTCAATCAGAAGACAATCAACAATCTGACGATTTTGAGTGATTCAATCGAAAATCCCTATTGTTGTCACTTGCTGCAATTTCGTGTAACAGATCTGGAAATTGTATGTAAAGTAAAACTGAAATGAATTTTACTCTAATTAGATTTTTTCAAAACACAAATGATTTTTTATTTTACAAAATGCAAACAGTCAACTCTTAACCTGGTAGATTTTAAACCCCCTACGACCATTTCAGCACAAACACACCTAATATAGGAACAAGGTGAAAAAGATAGATAAGGGTTTTCGCAAGAAAATTGAGAGGGGAGAGCCAGTTCTGGCCTTTCAAAAAATGAGTTACCTTAGATATTTGAATTAAAATCTATCAAATAGTGAGCAAACATATAATTTAATTTGTTTACAAGGTTTTCACACCTTGTTCATTGACATAAGTTTTCTCCTTTTAATTCGATACTTTCTGGTCTCTTCGCGATCAGGTAGGTACGTATCTAGTCTGAGCTTCCTCTCTCGTTTTATGCTTATCGTGAGACTTTCGCTCTCATAAATGGAGTCACAAAATCCCCTTATTTTTTCGTACAAAAGTTGAGCCCTTCTTCGTTTAGCCCTTTCCTTCTTTTCCAGCTTTCTAAGTTTCTTAGATTTTTTCTTCTTTTTCTTCACTGATATACTCTTATTAACATCATCCTCATCGAAGTCATCGAACACATCATCCCTTGAATACAAGTCAGGACTATAGAAGTCTGTTTTCAAAGATATTCTGTCATCCTCATAATCTGAAGATAAATTAGCGTTTCGTGGGTCGCTAATTTTGTATGGGGTATGGGAAATCCCGTCTTGTTGTCTTGGGGTAATTATTACACTCTGAACCGGTCGGAACTGAGAGGAACCTCTCATCGCCTCATCATCGTTCTCACTCCTCGTTTCCTCCAATGTGTCATCGCCTTCTCTCTCCTCAGAAGAATCCTCAGATTCCTCCATAATAGTATCTTCTAGTAAGGCAAAGCTTGTCCTAGATTCCCTAAAACTGTCTTTCTTCATATGAAGACTCACTTCCTTGCTCGAAAGTTCAGTATACACACCATCTTTAAGTATTCCTTTTTTCTTTTTATTCAAGGTTGCGACAATTCTACTAGGTCTACTGCCTCCTTCTTTACCTGTTTTCTTATTTGGCAGGGAATGTGGACTCCCTTTCTGCTCTGATTTTACAGACTTGTCTTTTAATTTTGGAATATCAGTTTTATTTTTCTGATTATCTTTCTCATTGTCCTTAGATGTAACTAATGACTTCTTCATAGCGTCGCTCGTCTTTTCTTTGATTTTTGTTTCGTTTGCTCCCTGCTTGTTTTTCTGCTCGTTTTTATCTTCGTTTTTCTTAGCTTTCTCTCCTTTCGTAACGTCATTTGTCTCTTTTTGTATTTTTTTGTCCTTTACCAGAATCTGTTTGCTATCTTTTTCTGTCAATATCTTTTCCTTTTTTGAATTCTCTAAGCTTACACTAGCTGTTTGGTTTTTCTTTTCCCTGTTTTCTTTCTTTACTTTATTATCAACCTTTTCTGGTGGTTTCTTATCCTTCTTTAAATTTTCGTTGTTTTCACCTGCAGGTTTGTTTGTATTTTCCCTATTTTCTTTCTTTTCTTTATTTCCAGCGTTCTCTGTTGGTTTCTTTTCTTTATTTGATTTATCTTTGTTTTCATTAGCAGTTTGTTTTGTCTTATCTCTTCCTTCTTTCTTCACTTTAACATCAACTTTCTGTTTTGCTTTCTTTTGTTTCTTTGATTTTTCTGCGTTTTCACTTCCTGTCTTATAAGTCTTTCCGTTTGCTCCTTTCTGCGCTTTATTCTCCGCCTTTTTCTTTGACGACTGGTCACCATTTCCTTCTTTCAGGACAGTTTTATTTATATCATTAATTTGACCACCTTTCTTACTGTTAATTGGCAAATCTATGTCTCCATTGTTAATTGGCAAATCTATGTCTCCATCTAATAATTCAAGTTCTTCGCTATTAGAATAGTTTAGAAGGTCCTCTCCATCTTTTGAGTCATTTAGTTTGATGCTTGAAATTTGTTTTTCCAATAAAGAAGCATCCAAAATGGATATTCCTTGTTCATCCATTACAGTATATTTCAATAATTACGTATAAAATTTATTACGATCAATATTGCATCAGGACTCTATCATAATCCACTATTAACTAAGCTTTGCAAAGAATCATAATTTCCAACATGTGAAAACGTCACTCCACTTTTGATTTTCTCCATTAACATTGATCAATATACCGATATAGTTTCATGATGCATTCTAAGGCCGTCAAAAGCATTTACAAATCTGCTTTCTTATCCTAAGAAATATACTTGTATACTGGAAAACGCAATTGAGGCTCAAATTATCCGTGGTCTCCTAGTGATGCTCTTGGAAACAATGTGGGTCTCTGCCTTAATCATTACATCTTAACATGCATTGCATATGCGCAAGATAGGTGTTCAAAAAGATTAAAGAGATTAACATACTGCAATGCAGTCAAATTAAAGTTCACACGTAGGTTAGTAGTGTACCAATTTTACCTAATTGGCACACGTTTTATGTTAAACACTCCCAATTTAACAAATAGAAACTTTCGATGGGAACTATCATTTCGTTGTGTTAGCAAAAGAATTACTTTTGTTCGTTTGTTTGTTTGTTTTTATTGTTTAACGTCTCTTTCGAGAATTTTTCACTCATATGGAGACGCCACCACTTGCCCGTGGAGAGCTGCAAATTTTGACCTATAATCGGCACTCGGGGCCATTGAACAGTGAAGGATCTTTTTCGTGCAACCTACTGCGACACAGGACCTTGGTCTCATCCGAGGGATCGGTCTCCACGTCCCACAGTGGGATTCGAACCCGCGACGTAAGGATTAACTTCTTACTCCGCAACTCTAGAGTGAACTCTCTTACCACTGCGCCACGCGGGCGACGAATTACTTTTGTGCTATTTACTTTTACTAAAGAACAAAACTGTTAATTTTTTATGCTTTCTGTTCTTTCTGCAGACGAAGGATATCATGCATACATCATATAAATAACTTAAATATCAGTAACTAAGTTTTTAACGACACCATGTAAACAACAAATCCCAATGCATAAAATCCCTATCACACCAGGGCTGCGTCCTCACAATGATCTCGCAGCGTCCATGAAAAATGCAGAACGCCAAAGTGCGTCTCCTACAGCGCCGGAAGAACTCGGTGGGATCTCCAATTAAGTGACGGGTTTGGGTCAAGTACCTAGAACGCCATGTGTTTAAGTATGCACAAAGTACGCGCCGTGGCTCTGCGTTCTGATGTATACGCAGTAAAAACGCCGTAGGATCACCGCAAGAGCACTGTAAGGTTTCCAAGAGCGCCACATGATTGCAGTATGGACGCATTGGTATAGTTGACGGCGTTTCTACAAAGACCTCTCAGAGTCCTTTAAGATGTCACTCCCTAACAAAAAAGTACTATAGTTAACTATAGTTTACTATAGTTAACTATAGTTTACTATAGTTAACTATAGTATCAAAGTTTTTTCACTATAGTAAATCGCAGTATTTTTACTATGGATTTCAGATCGTTATATTTTTTGTTCTTCAATTCATACATGCACATTTTTTATACTACATTGAAATATTATTTGTATATTCACACATTATTTCCAAATTTTACATTACTGTTATCGAATTTTAGAGATTTTAAGCTTTGAAATCTCAAAAACAGTTCCAGAGTAAAGTTTCATAGTAAATCAAAGTATCAAAGTTTTCACTATAGTTAACTATAGTAAACTATAGTTAACTATAGTAAATTTTTGTTAGGGCTGCGTCGAAAGAACGTCTTGTGCAAGCAGTCAGCGCACTGTGTACGCCGTGAACGCGAAGTGACAACTCCTACATGTAGCACATCATGGGCACTTAGCTGGAGCGCAATCAATCATCAGTTAGATCTCCGTTGAAACATAGTAGTACTCCGCGGGAGCTCCATAGAAATGCATTTGTCGTCGCCTGATATATCACAGCGATTCCCAAAAAATTTAACAACCAGAGCGCAGTCTGGTATAACAGAGGCCTCAGACTCGGACCTTGAGACATATTAAACATTCATTCCGAAAAATGAGGAACTTGGCAAGATTAAAAAAAAAAGATTTGCAATTTAACAAAAAATCAATTATATATGCACGCAAAGGGTTCAGCATATTCAATCATTATGTTTATTGGGTTCTGTATGTTCCCTCTATATTTTTCGTCTATTTATTTCATGTTCGTATGACATATAGACGTATAGGATGTTCAAGAAAGATTCTGTCCCATTGTTAAAATACCTCTTAAAATTTTTATTGGTTTTTCATTGGTCTTTACATCGACAATTCAAGAAGTGGGAAAATGCTGCCCAAATCAGCATATAAATTTGATTTGAACATTTATCATTTTAAGGAATAATAGATCTGTCATAAACCAAAAGGTACATAAAAACTTTGATGAATATTCCATGGTTGTGATTCGGGGCTCTCTGAGATCGATATTTTTAATGTCTATCCACACAAAGAAACAAAAAACCATTATCATGATTTAACAAACGATTCCATCATTAGCACTACACCGAAATGAAAAGTTTTTAAAGCAAGATTTTATGTGCAAGCTAAACCTTAATAGACGTTTAAAAGGCTGACCTTGGTGTGGTTTTTTAATCCTCTTAAAATGGCAGGTAACAAAGCCAGCAAATATAAGGCAGAGAGGAAATAGATAACAAATGCAGATGTTTGGAGGAAAGGAACAACTGCTCTCTATAATAGTGGATATGCAATTATTTGCGTTCCATTGAGTTATATTTTTTTTCATTTTAAACAAAAGTATCGATGTATAAATTCACCATCATTGTCTAATTACATAATGGTATACATGTCTCTATGAAAAGATATTTGCAGCAAATATTCACTTAATTACACGAAGTTTAATTTCTTAATCAGACATCCATGCCGTTACCTTGGAGTCTTTTTTTTTTCAGAGGTATCATTTTACGCACCTGCCTATAAGGGAGGTGATTATAGAGAAAGCATTAATACAGATTTAAAGGTCAGAAAGTAAGTTTTCGTTATTAACGTACAGAATGAATGTACAGTTACACAAAGAAACGGTGTGTGACTATTTTTCTTAATGCATACATGTAGCAGACTGAAATTTAATACAGCTTATATGTTCGTACTTTCTGACATTTTTCCTGAATAATTGTTGATATTTCCGTCACAAAAAAGTCATAATTAAAAAAAAATAAATGAAATATATAGTTATACACATACAAAGAGACCTGACTCCTCTGTTCAAAAACGGAAAATAATGTCTCTCTAAAATTTAATACATTGTAAAACGAATATTTACAACGCATGTAAATACTTATTACTGAAGCATTTTTAACAGCCTTATGAATACAAATTTAGGGGTGGGTGTCCTAACCCTCATCGTCGATAACCTACGGGTGATTCACATCGATTTTCTGTCTATCACCAAGAGGAACCTTGTCGGCTCAAAACTATGGTTTGCAACGATGCCTAAACCTGCATCACAGGATAACTTAACATGACACCCACCCACACGCCCCATCTGAAAATTTTCTCTATACCAAAATGTAATCCATATTAATTTCGCACGTTACCCTATTTCTATATTTCATGGTACAATAAAAAATACATTCAGCAGGTATATGTACATGTACATGCACTTGCATGTGAATGATAAAAATGAAAATAAAAATCAGATGTAATCACAAATTAAGTATCAGTCAAATGAAAAATTTTGATTATATACAAAATACATGTTTGATTATATACAAAATACGTGTTTAGCTATAAAAAAAAATGTAGGTTCATGTGAAAATCATGCGAGTGGGAAAATTAAAATGATATCGTAGAAAAGGAAGAATCATCCAGATTCTCACCGAAGGAGTTAAAATGTTTCCAAAACAATACACAATGCAAATCAGTTTGCAAATAAGTTTAGGCCTAACTAGTACTGGGTAGTAATTATAATTTTCTACATATATGTTGATTTATTTGAAATGTATTTCTGAAATCACAGGCCTAGAACTTATTCTTTGTCCCATGTTCAGTGATTTTCAGAAATTATACGTATTATTATTGTACGTCAGTACATGTATAGATTCAGATTTTCAAAAATTACGGCAAATTGCACAGATTTAATTTTCTTTAGGCTATCGGACCTCAGTCCAGGCGATCAAATTTCCCCGATAGGCGAGTCAAAAAAATATAAGAAATAAAAAAGGAATTTGTTACTGTTGAACTTTTATAACTCAGAATATCTTTATTATTTAATACTTAGCATTTGCCGGTATTATTTAAAAGAAAAAAGAATTAATCTAATGGCATATATGACAGTTCAGTTGCAGATTTATGATCAACATCTTATTGAATGAGAACGTGGTTCGGGTGTCTATCTTCATTTTTTTATTTTGTTTGTATTTTGGGGTTGAAATTTTTTGGTTGAAATTTTAGCGCAGAGAGAGAGAGAGAGAGAGAGAGAGAGAGAGAGAGAGAGAGAGAGAGAGAGAGCTGTGCATTGGTCCTACTAGAAAATAGATTCTACCATTCTAAAACCCCTAGTTCACTGACTCTGTTTTATAAACAACAATTACTTTGCCACAACAAATCGGTTCATTAACCTAGTAGTATGAAGCTCTAACGTAAAATAATCTAGCGTGCACCCTAAACTTTACCCTTTGCCTGAAACAGACTTTCACTGATTGTTAATTAATGAACATACGAGGCAAGGTCTCAATATCAGTTACCTTAAATTACTGTTAATTAAATTATTGTATTTTTTTAATTAAAAATTTAAGATACATGTTGTTATTTTTCAATTCTAAACAGCAAGGGGTACATTAAACGATAGGTACAATGTACCTATATATCAATATACATGTATGTGTTTTTGTTAGTTCAGTTTCAGGGATAAATATCCCTACATTTACATATCCTGAAAGTATCTTCTTTTAAACATCAAAAAGAAGTTAGAATTTTACCTAACAAAGAGTTTCATCTGCACTCTGAAACTTCAATAAATAGAGTTATCAGTTACACTTATGGATACACTTAAACGAATTCATCAAAACGCTCCACAGACAAACGCACATACATGTATATACTGAGAAGATGATAACTGAAGTCTGCTTTCGTGACTAATATAGAGGTGACTTAACCTAGATGAGAATTTCATTGGCAAATATTTCTTTGCCCTCACCACATATTCGTTCCGACTGAACTATTAAGTCCATCGCCAGCTTTTTTGGAAAGGGAAGGGGTATGGATCGAAGATCTGCCTGGGCCAGAAAAAAATTCCGTAAATTGGCACAATTTTGGTGGCTTCTGGTTATTCTTGTAAATAATGTCTAGATCACTATTCGTTTCGGGAACTTATAACATATGGCGATGAATTTATTTTGCTTTATAAATGATATTTTGAGGTTTTGTTTTTAAAGGGGGTGCGCCCCCCCCCCCCCTCCGACAGACTTGATCTATATAAATTTTGTGTCGTTGTATGCAATTAGTTTTGTGTATGTGTGTATATATATTTGTCTAAAATGGAATTAAAAACAGTTGGTATACTGATAAGGCTTTGAGAAAATATAATGTTTAATGTCGATATTTTTTGGTGAGACTTCTATGAAGGCAGGTGCAATATAGGACCTCAAAATAATACAACAAATTGTCGTACGTGCATTTAATTAATTACTTATTCATATGTTTAGAAGGTTTATGCTGTAAATTCACAATTACTGCAATTACATGTGTTTCTTTCTACAGGCCTGTATCTCAGTACATCTCCACACAGGTGCATGTACACATCTACAGGCTAATATAGTTCATGTATGACATACATGTAGCACTTCATTATGAGCCAAACCCATCGGGGTATTAAATTATCTCAATTAATACTTGCCTTAATGTTCTCTTTAGTATCCTTTGATGCCATGTTTATTTACATGGGGACTTTATCTTATGGATGTTTACTTTTTCTTCGATAAGCAGAGCACCTGTCGCGAATGTTGACACTGTCGGGAAGCAACAAGGGAAGTAACTGCTCATCTTAGTTAAATCGTGCTTAAACTGTTTCGAGAAATATTGGAGATTTAACAAATTCATTTTCCGTCGTGATATGAATTTGATCGCTTACCTACACTAAAAGCATGTAATATAAAATCAGAAAATAGTAATAAAAGGACAGATATAGTCATTGTGCTTTTGTGTGTGTGTGTGTGTTTATATAAATATTAGCGAATCGCAATTATGTTTGAATGCGGGGCCACTTTAGAGTAATTCGAAGCCTCTTCTTGACACTGAACAACAACTCAGCAAATTGAAAGCAAAGCTGGACTCAGAGAGAAAGGAGGATGGTGTACGTTTCTTCGGGAGGTAATTGTGGTTTTATCTATGCTATATAGACATCGTGATTTAGAGAAAAACTTATGTGAACCCGGGCTTTCAAAGTTTGAAAACAGTTTATTTTTTAAATAAAACTTATTCCTGATTCTTTTGATTTCATTCTTCATGAGTAACGTTATATGTCATTCATTTGAAAGACGCAGGACATCCCCCACAATTTTATTGGAAACACTTTACAAGAATATTTGCTTAGAATGTTTAAACTGTATGAATTTTTATTTTGATCCTCACGTTTGACAGTTTTTTTTTAAGTTTATGTGTGTTTTTAGATCATCAATCTGTATGGTGATGTTCTGTCATTTTCTCGTAAAACTACAGGGTCGTTCCTATGCATTGGAATCATTAAAAAGTAGAAAGGTGTGGGGTTCCTTCCCTAACAGGGAGTTGAGGGGGAAATATTATAATAACCGGGTGATTATGCATTATAGGCAGGGAAATTCCCAAGCCCCCAAGTCATAAGGACAACCCTGTATCTATGTGTTTTAAACAACAGCAGAGTTTCAATATGTCTTTGATGAAAAAGGATCTATGAAAACTCATCGAAGGACAACTTATCAAAAAAAAAAAAAAATCATCGATGCAACAACTCATAGAAAGGACAAGATAGAGTGTGGACAATTCAAGAACAATTCATGGATACAAAAATATTAATTGACACTCATCGAAACTGAGAAAAAAAACCCAGTAATTTTTAAGATTTTATTTATTTATACAAAGAGCATTTTTAGCTCACCTCGATGAAGTCGAGATGAGCTTATGCTATACCCCCGGCGTCGGCATCGGCGTCGGTGTCGGCGTCGGCGTTAGCGTCGGCGTCCCAGGTTAAAGTTTTAGGAGCAAGTCCCATTCCCAAGTAACTATACGCCCTACCTGGACCAAACTTGCATGGATGATGCATCTAGGGATGGACACTACCACACTTGCTTCGGATGCTGGATCTGACCTAGATTTTCCAGATGAGTGACCAGGTTAAAGTTTTAGGAGCAGGTCCATTCCCAAGTAACTATAAGCCCTACCTGGACCAAACTTGCATGGATGATGCATCTAGGGATGGACACTACCACACTTGTTTCGGATGCTGGATCTGATGTAGATTTTCCAGTTGAGTGACCAGGTTAAAGTTTTAGGAGCAGGTCCATTCCCAAGTAACTACAAGCCCTACCTTGACCAAACTTGCATGGATGATGCATCTAGGGATGGACACTACCACACTTGCTTTGGATGCTGGATCTGACCTAGATTTACCGGATGAGTGACCAGGTTAAAGTTTTAGGAGCAGGTCCATTACCAAGTAACTATCAGCCCTACCTTGACCAAACTTGCATGGATGATGCATCTAGGGATGGACACTACCACACTTGCTTCGGATGCTGGATCTAGTGTAGATTTTCCTGATGAGTGACCAGGTTAAAGTTTTAGGAGCAGATCCATTCCCAAGTAACTATAAGCCCTACCTGGACCAAACTTGCATGGATGATGCATCTAGGGATGGACACTACCACACTTGCTTCGGATGCTGGATCTGACCTAGATTTACCGGATGAGTGACCAGGTTAAAGTTTTAGGAGCAGGTCCATTCCCAAGTAACTATCAGCCCTACCTTGACCAAACTTGCATGGATGATGCATCTAGGGATGGACACTACCACACTTGCTTCGGATGCTGGATCTAGTGTAGATTTTCCGGATGAGTGACCAGGTTAAAGTTTTAGGAGCAGATCCATTCCCAAGTAACTATAAGCCCTACCTGGACCAAACTTGCATGGATGATGCATCTAGGGATGGACACTACCACACTTGCTTCGCATGGTGGATCTGACCTAGATTTTCCGGATGAGTGACCAGGTTAAAGTTTTAGGAGCAGGTCCATTCCCAAGTAACTATAAGCCCTACCTTGACCAAACTTGCATGGATGATGCATCTAGGGATGGACATGGCCACACTTAGTTCGGATGCTGGATCTGATGTAGATTTTCCAGATGTGTACCAGGTTAAAGTTTTAGGAGCAGGTCCATTCCCAAGTAACTGTAAGCCCTACCTGGACCAAACTTGCATGGATGATGCATCCAGGGATGGACACTACCACACTTGCTTCGGAAGCTGGATCTGACCTAGATTTTCCACATGTGAGACCAGGTTTAGATTTAGGAGTAGTCTCGTTCCCAAGTAACTATAAGCCCTATCTGGACCAAACTTGCATGGATGATGCATCTAGGGATGTAAACTAACCAACCTGCTTCGAATGCTGGATCTGACCTAGATTTTCCACATGAGTGAATTTTAGCCATATTTTAACCAAATTAGCATGGATGATGTATCTAGGGATGGATACTTCCGGACTTGCCTTGGATTCTGAATCTGACGTACATTTTCCAGATGAGTGACCAGGGTAATTTTTTGGAGTAGCTATATAATATTATGGCCTGTTATGATTAAACTTGCATAGATGGTGCATCTAAGGATGAAAACTTCCAGACTTGCTTTGGATGTTGGAACTGACCAAAATTTTCTTGATTACTAAACAGGTCAAAAGTTTTTTGAGCAGATCTATAATTAAATCAAACTTGCATGGATATTGATCTTGGGATGTACCCTAACTAGAAAAAAATATGATGTGAAATTTGCCTTACATGTAGATAACATTCGTCGAGGTGAGCTTCGTAATCTTTGATTACCTATGTTTTGAAATTCAAACTGCAGTTTCAGTCATGCAATGTCATGAGCAAACCCTTCAAGGTATTTTACAAAGTTTCCCTCTTGGAGTGATTCCTCAATAATTTCAGCTTTTTTTTTACAGTTGCTCAGCTCACAAGATTTTTATTCATCTTTCCTATAACAAAGGTATATTAAGCCATTACATGCTAATCACTTTGTATTCCTTTGATAGGGAATAAAGGTGAAATCGGTCTCTCCCCAGCCATGACTAGACTGAGTATGAAAAAAAAAAATGAGAAAGTACAATAAAATCATCTGAAAAGTGTTCAAAGATTTTTATTTCTATTATATCATGAGTTGTGATCACTCATTAAAATCCACTTGTGACGTCACTCTTTTGTTTGAGCGCTCCATTATTTTTCAGGAATGGAGAGTTGCAAATTACATTGAAAACAGTATTTCCCATGATCAAATTCTCCTTCCAGTGCCTCTACCGGGGAAAGAACTTAGAAAATTTCATTAAGTTTATTTTCATATTAAGAAAAAAACCATAATTGTACTGCTGAGAATCGATCCCGGTACCCTCGCCATGGTAGTCAGACACCAGACACTCATCTCACTATGTTTCTGAGCTGTTGACAGATGTTGGATTTAAATTTCTTTATAACACTTTACTTGCCTTACTCTCTCTCTATATATATTAAATACTTCTTTATTGTGTATATATTTTATATATTTTTTTTAATTATATATTAACAAATAATAATTGCAAGCATTTAAAACAGTGGATTTTAAGTGGGTTAATATACTTGTACTAGCTCTCCATTCCTTAAAAGCAATGGGCCTCGGCCCCTTTTGGGCCTTGGCTCCATTACTTTTAAGGAATGGAGTGCTACTACATTAACCCAAACTGAGTTGTCTTTCTTTGAATTGTTGTGTTGGCGAGTTTTACTTTTGATCATTTGACTTTCAATGAGTTGTCCCATTTGACAAATTGTCTTTCAACAAGGTGTCAAGTACTAGATGAAATAAAATCATTTTGTCCACACTGGCTAAATTTAACCAGTCCTATAAAAAAATATACTGAAAACCCAAAGGGGTTGTTTCAGTTGATGAAACAGCTCAAATTTTCATCAAGCAATAACTTTCTATTTTTTAGGTCAAATGGTTGACTCCCAGTCTCCATGGAGACTATCCATTATTCCAGAGATATTTTGGGGGATCATCAATTTTATTGTTCTGTTGTAAGTACATATGTAATTTGTTTCATAAAAATAATACATGGTAGCTTTTTTTTTAAATTCATTATGATAGATACATGTATATATTACATATATACATGACCATGAACAAGAGTTAAATGTATTGATGATATATAAATTAAAGTTTTGTAAATGTTTTTTTTTTTACATATGTCCATGATCCTGATATCTAATAAATTATGCATCTTAATACTCTTTGTCATTGTAAATGTAGTTTTTATGTACGTATGAATTGTTAATGTGTGTGTGGTATCACAAACAGATATAAAAATTTAATTAATTTTACTCATTTTTATTTTATTTCAGCTTTCGAACTTTAGTTTCTGTAAGTATATTTAAAGAACCCATTTTTCTATGAAGAAGTATCTAATTTACTCTTGTAAAAAATAGCTTAAGCTGCATTTAATTTAAAAGATCTATATGTTGTATATATGTTGTTCATGATTTCATTTTCTTTATAATACTGAAAGGGATTTATGCTTACGTAATTTACATGTAGGTCATAGGATGACAGATGTATTTAACTTTCTATTTTTCTACGAGAGACTGTTCAATTTTTTGTGATTTCATTGCTGCAATATATGACATATTAATCTGGTAATTTAAATTAATAAATGTTTGGTATAAATGCACTCAATTTGAGGTCAGAAAGATAAGTGACATAGAAATTGGAAGAACTTATTTGTTTTCTGATTTAGTTACCAAGCAAGTAAGTCCCATACTTTCTTGTCAAGTCTGATAGGATATCGAGGAAAATTTCATCTACCCAATATTAAAAATCTTTAACATGCAAGACTTGCACATGTAGTGCTCGCTTGGTGTTGTCTTTAAAATGGTAAAAATTTAGACAGCAGTGTTAGAATGTAGTGAGAAAATAAAAATGATATTAGAGGGTCTAGGTTTTTAAAAAATATATAGGTAGCATGTAGTTCTTTGTTGTAATCTGATCATTTTAATATATCTCAATTGTCAGTTTAAAAATTCTTTATCCTGGTTTAAAAAATAAACAGTCTAATTAAAATTAAGATGGATTACTCTTTTTTTTCAGCCTTCAATGACAAAGCACGGGAATTCTTACACATCAGACTACAGGTCAGGGGGACAAGGGTAGGTAGAAAAGGATATATAGGTAATCTTCTTCATCTCAAAATCAGCTGGACTATCAGAAAATATTTCGAGATATCCAGGGTGTTGAGATAGCAGAGTTGAGACTCGGTGTCCAAGATTTCACAGCATAGCAAAACAGAAAACTTGTTTATGATATACATGAATTCAATAGTTAGTGATTATTTTCAGCAATTCCTCCGTTTATAACAAAGTCTTAGAAGTTATTCAAAAAAAATATCTTATTGATAAAATGTATTCTTTCTCCATATTGAAATCTATCTAAATTTACTGATTAGGTTTCCATCAGGCATTTCACATGTAATGTCTGCTTTTTGTCAAAACATTGGCTTAAAAGGTGTGAATTTCTTATCAAGTCAAGATACACAGAATCATCCATGCATGATGAGCGATCATCTGACAAACTGTTAAATTAAGTAAAGCAGAAAATTGCCGTGATGTCGACAATCACAAAGTAAATTTTGCTCTTGGGACTACATTGAGATAAGCTGGGTAGTCAGCATTACGGAGGTTGGCATATCCAAGTTTTTTTTTTTCCAAATCATTTATGTATTGTAAATACTGATGGGACGTCAATGTCAATATATCCCATATCGAGATACTGAAATTTACCTTTCCTTATGTTCTAATTGAATAAAGTGTGTATTTAGGGATGTCTATTGGATAAAGCCAAACTACATGTAAAGAAAATCAGAAGTATGGAAAAGTATGACAATAGTTTCATTTAAAATTGAAATGTATTTTCCTCTGTAGGAAATCAAATTTCCAATGTACATGTACATGTAGCACCTAGCCAATCTAGCTTCAAAATTTCTGAACCTAAGAAGTTTTTTGATTAAGATTCTGCCTTTTTTTTTGCAATGGTTTAAAGGGAAATATTAAAAATATGACCTCATTTAAATTGAATGAAACAGGATCTTTCTATAGCGGAGCTATTAAGTATATGAAGAATTTATGTTTTTCTTATTACAGACCACCCCCACCCCCAAGGAGGAGAATGGGAGGTTTTAGAGGAGGTGGAGGTATTGTAGGAATTATTCATATTTAATTCACATTTTCAAATTTAAACAACACATTTATCATGTCATTTATCTGTTTCACAAGATTCTTCAACCTGTGTTATTTAAGAAATAATGTATCATTTTTAAACATCTATCGGGATATAAATACGGGTTGGTCACGAGGTCAAATTCCATAAAGCCAGAATGGCTTTATGGTAAATTTGATCTCGTACCAACCTGTATTTATATCCCGATAGATGTTTAAAAATGATACATTATTGCTTATATTTACATTTATGACTTATTCATATTTTATATTTTCCTGATTATAATCTTTAACGCGTGAAATGCTTTATTTTTTCAAACTCAACGGCACGTATTTGATCCATTGATTGCGCGTCGACCCTTTATGACGTCACTGAGAAATTATGTCGAACGTTTATGACGTGAGGAACCCGTGTTTATACGGATATAGATACGCGTTGCTTTCTATAGTGTTATATAAAAGAAAACATTTGCAAATGTAAATATATTTAGATAAATAAAAGAGGTGTACATGTATATGACAAGAACAGCAACTCCTTGGTAGAAATTGCTATCGATAATCATTACCTTATGTTAAAGTATTCCTGTTTTCTTATAAGGGAAAACTGTGTTGTGATTAATAACTATTCCAGGATAACATGAATGCATAACTTGATGTTTGATAGGTGCCCCCAGTCCCCCACCAATGGGAGGAGGATGAGGAAGGTAGACATCCAGAGGTCATGTGACACAAAATCACATCTTGATTGGCTCTCTGGATATCATATTTTCAACAGGCTTTAGTTTGTTTTGAGAAACACTACAGACATCCATAATGTATGAAATGTTAAAGTAAATGTATGCTAGATTTCAAACTTATTGAGTATTTGATATGCATTTCTGTATGTACACCTTGAACCAATACCCATATCAAATGTATTATGATTATTACATATATTAAATGTAATGAGTCTGAAATGTACGTTATAAAGTTTCATTTCCAAATAGTAGAAAATTTTTTCAAAATAGGTAAATGTTAACAATATCTTTATGTTCATGTTAAGGTTTATTTTTACCATATACATGCTTGTTCATATGTATTTATTTATTAAATAATTTTAAGGCTTAACCAAGTATATATACATGTACAAGCATGGATGTATTTTATATATGAAGTTGACTTTCATTGCTAACTAAAGCCAGCTCTGACTTTCAGGTAACAACAGACAATGTTAATGTCTGTACATGACAAGTAATCCACAAACTCAGTTTTTGAGTTGGATAACTTTGATTAAGATTACTTGAAAGTCAGAGAAAACAAATTTTATTATTTATTCTCATTTTCTTGTACATAGTTTAATCCATAATGCATTAAATGCCAAAATCATTATGTATAAATCTGGGTAATTTATTTATACAGCACAACTCATGTTGTGTAAGGTGGTATATTGTCATGATACATTTAATGTTACCTGATTTTCATGCACTTTGTCATTTTATCATACCCTTGATGCAATGTGAATGTATGTAATCATATTTATTCACAAGTCAACTACATGTTTGTTTAATTATGTTCATTTTGTACACATTTTTGTTTGTATTTTTATGTTGTTTATAATTTGGTTTTAACTTTAATCCAGCTGTTAATACATATTGATGATAGTAAAGGAGGGTGTATATACGTTGTTTTACCTGCAAATGTATGTACATACATAAAGTAAGGTCATCTTATATGTATTTTTCACATGTTAATGAAATTGCTTTATTTTATTGTGTTTGTCATGTTTCTACAATTACATAATGAATAATAAGAATCTATACTGAGAATTAATTTCTTAATGACCAGATGGATAAAAGGGGACATTTTCAAGATGCATATTGTTATTTTTCTTCATTTTGTTTTAGATGAGATAATTGAAAAGTATTTTTATACTAAGTAAATATGCACATTTAGATGAATTTTTTTTGTAAAATAGTTTACCCAGTTCAAATGTTTATTGGGATTAATGCTTTATAAGTATTCCACAACCATACATGTAGGTGCAGATATTTTATGTTGAAAGAATTTCCCCCTCTTATGTTGGAAAAAATGTAATTCCTTTTTCTTGGAAACAGTAAATTCAGAAAATTTATCATCAATTTTATCATTATAAAATATATGGAGATAACGAACAGTATTCAAGCTCAAAAGTCCATTAAACAATACAAAGTAGGAGCAGAGCAAACACGGACCTCCAAACATCAGAGGTGGGATCAGGTACCATGGAGGAGTGAGCATCCCCCTGCCAACTGGTCACACCCGCCGTGTGCTCCTTGTCAAGATCGGGAAATGACGGAAAAATCCATTGACAATTCAGTGTGTAAATAATGGCCTAACAATTGGTATGAAAAACGTCAGTCAGCATTTGACTCAATGATAAATTGTATTTGCTGACAAGGCCATTGTATCAACCATAGAACTTATGAAATGATGACTTTAAACGAGACAGCTGGTATTCTTGTTTCATCAACTTGTTGATTCTTGTCTGGTTTCTGACTGGATGAAATATTCAAAGTATATTTGCTTATATGTTGTATATATTTAGATGCAAGAGATTTAAAAGATCATAATTTTATTTTTCTTTCCTCATCACAATAGTCCAACTTTGAATGAAAATGGTAAACTGAGTTTGAAATCTATCAGGGACTATATTTTTTATTTTCTGCCTCTCAAAATAATTATAGAACAATGAATTTAGTTATAATTTTTACACAATGACTTGGAGAAAATTTTTAAATGTAAGTTAAATTAATGATAAGGAACTAAAGTTTTAAGATATATCAAATAAATATGATTTTCCAAACAAACTACAATTATGTTAGCTTTTAAAAGCTTCCAATCTAAGTTCAGATTTAAACCAAAAATTGGTCAAAAGTATTTTTTTCCCTTTTAGTAAACGGTCAAAACTTTTTGTTTTTATATCATTTTGTATATTTATGTGACAACTTTACCATATTTGAAAATAAGAAGAATTTAAATATAGGAAGCATATAAAAATAACTAAAATATCTTAAAATTCTAAGAAAAGTAGAGAAAATTCGGATTAGCCAATATTCATTTTAGTTAAATTATTTATGTCAATTTGGTAATATCATCTTATAGAGCCAATATGGTTATATCTCTTTATGCAAAAAGACATTTAATCTTAAGTAGGCATTGCATGATTGGCAACAATATTTTTTTTATTCTTAATGCCCAGGGAAAAGGTACTGACCTTGACCTGACCTTGCCTCTATATATAACACGGTCAAATTTAATCCAACTGATACCATCACTTAGAGATATTGTCTTCTTGATTCTGTGAAAATGTCATTGATTTTTAAATATAAGAAATAAGTGTTTTATGAGAAGAATCCCTCCTTAAACAAACTTTTAAATAAAGGCCATCAAAAACTACTGTTATGAATTTAAGCTCTTAAGTTAGATTTCCCTTTTCAGTATTGTAGTCCCTACTGACTTGAAAGAAAACACTGGGAAACTTGTAAATATTTTTTTATTTTCCCATTTTTTTGAAGGTACAGTATGTCATGGGCAAATGAAGTAGCACAATGCTCTGTAAAAAAGCGTTCATGCAGTTTACTTGTACACGTTCACCTAGATATAATTTACATTCTGTCTGGTGACGTAAGGCTGCTCGTTGACAGGTCGTACTGGTTCTGCAGGACAGCAGATAGAAATACAACACAGAGAAACGACACAGAACGCAAAAATAATAAACATGGCTGCCACCACTATCGCCAGAACTAGTAAAATAGGGAAAGACATGACTGCTTCAACCTCTGATCTGAAAGATATCAACATTATGTAGAACACCCACAAATTAGAATTTCATTCAGCCTTGCTTAAAAAAATTGATTTTTAGCTCACCTGAGCCAAAGACTCAAGTGAGCTTTTCTGATCAAAATTTGTCCGTTGTCTGTCGTCGTTGTCGTTGGCGTTGGTGTTGGCGTTGTCGTCGTTGTCGTCGTCGTTGTCGTAAACTTTTCACAATTTCATCTTCTTCTCCAGAACCACTGGGCCAATTTCAACCAAACTTGGCACAGAGTATCCTTGAATGAAGGGGATTCAAGTTTGTTCAAATGAAGGGCCATGCCTTCCTCCAAGGGGAGATAATTGCGAATTCATGAAAAAATTATGGCATCTTTCAAAAATCTTCTTCTCAAGAACCACTGTGTTAGAAAGTTTGAAACTTATGTGGAAACATCCTCAGGTAGTGTAGATTCAATTGTGTTCAAATCATGACCCCCAGGGGTAGGGTGGGGCCACAGTGGGCTATCAAAGTTTTACATAAGAATACAAAGGGAAAATCTTTAAAAATTTTCTTCTCAAGAACAGCAAAGTCTTGATTGGTCATATTTATATGGAAGCATCCTCAGATAGTTTTGATTCAAGTTTGTTCAAATCATGACCCCCGGGGGTAGGTAGGGCCACAATGAAAGTTTAAACTTGTAGGGAAAAATCACAGTTAGTCAAAAAAAAAAATGTGTAAGCATCCTTAGTTAGTGTAGATTCAATTTTGTTGAATTCATACCCCCCAGCCTCCTCCTTTTTAGGGATAGATCGGGACCACTTATGCATTTAAGCATTGCAATACTAAACTGATTTTTGCTTTTTTCGCAGCCACAGTGCTCAGGTGAGCGATGTGGCCCCTGGGCCTCTTGTTTCAATTTTGAATACAATGGGACACTTTCCTTGTCTATATTCACTTTCTTAACATTATTATTTTTGGTTGTGATTATGTCTCAAATACCAGGTTGGATATTTGCGATACATTTTATTAAGCTTTTCGTTTTGTGTAGTTGTATAGATGCAAGAGGAAACCATTTGTTAATTACAAATAGGTTAATCGGAGAATAAATAACAATGTGTTAATTTTAATATGTACACAATATAAGTTTATATTTGAAGAAAACTATCCCAAAACGATAAAATTAAGTTACAACAAAATTCAATTTGGCTGTTGGAAATGATAAAAGAGACCAATTTAATTTACTAGTATGCAACTATTTGCTCTCTGAATACAAATTACTTACCATTTTATTCATATATTAGTGCAACAATTCACTGAAGTCAGAAATTAAAATTTCCAGGTACTTGATGTGCATGCAAAAAGAATATTACACAGGGGCTATTGCACCTGGTGTTTTTATTTTTACCATAGATATTTGTTTAATGTGTTTGTTTTTACACCTGTTCGTTAAAGCCTGCAATTAATTTAAGTGTCCAGACTTTTATCAATGTAACCTTTTGATAACAATGAGCGCACAAGTCGGGACTTCCTGGTAGATTTTACCAATGAAGAAAGAAATCAAGTACACACGAGTAGCAAGGAGTAAAAATATTTTGTAAATGAATACATCTACACATATGTATCCAGTATTTAACCATTCAAGATACACGCCACACACGTATACATGTATTTCATGATTGTGGAGAGCATTAAAATGTCGATTGCTAAAGGTCTAAGATAAAATATCAAGAGGCCCTGGGCCTTAACGATCACCTGTTTATGATACAAAACTACAAAGGATCCATAGAAGTATAAAGCAAATTTAATTGAAAGATAAAGCAATGTTGCTCAAGAATTTCAAAAATCTGGTAAAAATACTTTTGCTTATTGTAACATGCTAGACCCCTAGCGATCTCCTTGGGATTGTACATGGTTTGCCCAAGTCTCACGAGGATGATAATGAATGCAAAATATACATATACAATGGACACTTGTGTGTATTAAGGTATTTCATATTTAGAGCGTTTTTATCACTTGCCTAGTGCTACAATTTGTACTTTAAAGTACACAAAGAAAAAATCTGTAATGCCTGTACAGTGTCTATTTCTCGAGGTGATGCCTCTTGGCTACACAAACATCTTAAGCTGCTTGCTACTTTGTAACACTTGGTACCGCTTGGGTATACAAACTACTTGGTAATACTTGTTACAATGTAGCTATTTGCCACTTGTCACAAACAACAACACTTACCCTAGTCACCGCCGCTCTCTGTGATCACTTGGTAACTTTCATAAATTATACAAAAAAAGAGAATACTTTACGCAGGCTAAAACCAACTAATCTATGGTCTCCTTAACTTTACCTGACAGTACATAATATCAATTGTCAATCAGGACACCACAGTATACACGTACTCTATACAGTTGACTATTTTGCTACATAAATAATCTTTATGTCAAACTTATATATTGCTTTACAGGCAAAAATCTGAGTTTGAGCAGGCTTTGCTCATTGAAATCAAACATTCATTTTTATTTTGTTTCTATATATACAACATTTTTTCTTGTATTCTCATTCAATCAAATAACCTGTTAATTAAATTACATACAAGGATTTCTTGAATACAATATAGCAAAGGGGAGTAACTCTCATTTGCTTCCCTTATTACAATTTTGAACTCTGTTTGCCTCCTAGATACCCAGGAGCAGAGAAGAGGCCCATTTTCAATATTTATATATTTACATTTATATTATTGTATTTAATTTGTTTCTTTAATACCAAGGGGCAGAGGAAAAGATTTTCAAAGCATTAATGCATTTTTGCTGTATTATCAATAAAGCCCCCCTCCTGGAACCCCTGACCCTGGGGCCACATCTTTCACAGTTTTGGAAGAGACACCCTTGCTCATTATAAATATGCACTTATTGCATCAGCTTAATATCCAAGAACAGAGTTTAAAATTTTCAAGGAATTAATGCATTTTCACTATATAATCATTAGGTCCCCGCCCTAACACCAGAACCCCTGACCCAGGGACCATGAAATTCACAATTTTAGAAGAGGCATCCTTGCTCATCATAACTACGCATTTTGTTTGCTTAATGTCCAGGAGCAGAGGTAAAAATTTTCAAAGAATTAATGCATTTTCATTATAATCATTAGAGCCCCTCCCCAACACCAGAACCCTTGATCCAGCGGCCATGAAATTCACAATGTTGAAAGAGGCACCCTTGCTCATAATAACTATGCATTTAGTTTGTTTGCTTTATACCCAGGAGCAGAGGAGAAGATTTGTAAAGAAATGATGTATTTTCAATATATATTCAACAGAACTCCGCCTTAACATCAGAACCCCTGACCCA